CACAGATTCCGTTGAGTTTTTCACCTAAAAATACGAATTTTCACTTGCGGAAACCCTTGAAATTCCACTACACTTAAAAAAAAATTAAATTTCATGGACAGTTGACTACTAATTTTCAAGATCGTAACACTGAATGCGATTTAGGGGAAAAAATCATGAAATTTCAGGTTTCACTAAAAATTCAGTAAAATTCCAGAATTTCAAGCAGCATAAAGACAAGAATTCCTCAAGTTATTTGAATTTCCAATCTAATATGAATATTCAGTGCCAAATTACATTGAATTTTCAGTGAATTGAAATTTCAAAAAATTTCCCCCTAAATCGCATTCAGTGTCACAGTCCTAAAAATTCAAGAATATATTTATCGGAATTTTCTGATTTTCAATTCATTTTCAGGGAAAAATCGAACTGTTATTTGCAGTTCCCTTTGATGTTCCCCGAAATTCTGAATTTTCAATCACGAAATTCCTTGAAATTTCAGTGGTAATTAAATTCGATAAAAATTTCCAAAAAGTGTGCCGGAAATTTCAGACAAAAATTTTTTAACAGCAGTAGAATTAGAATTAGAATCGTCACTTGACAAAACTGTCCAACAGTGCGCCGTAAATTTCAATCATAACTCGCCAATTCCCGAAAGAATATTTCATCGTGCATACTAAATCCGTACTCCAGAACTTTTCCTCATTGAGCAATCTCCCTCACATGCCCACACAATGCGAATGAAAATCCAGTTCCACCACGTAAATTGCTGGGGAACGAGGGATAAAACCCGGCGACAGATTGAGAAAAATAAAAATGATCAACGATTGAAAATCAAGAAATCGAGTATCCCCCGGCGGGCAATGATGAACGAAAAGGAAGTCGATGACTCACGGAGTTGAGGCTCGTAGGTAGAAGGCGTTACTCGTAGGCAGAGAGTAAGCACGTAAGCACCTTCGGAGTAATAAAAAAAAAAATCAACGGTGTCAAGGAGGTCTCAGACACACGAAGGAGAGACACACCAAGTCCCACTCCAATGGGCTCTCCAATATGGATACATTCTGCGCCAGTATTTGATATTTCTGAAAGGGAAGCTGGGCGCGTGGCAGGACTCGTGTTACCGTTCAATTTTTAAACGAGATAGTGGTGGATGAAAAACAGGTATAGACCCTTTTCCTGCCCTCCCTTCCTCCTCTTTTTTTTTTCTGATGTATTACTTTTTCTACTCCTCCACCTCCATCGAATACTATCCACCTTTGGCAGCTGCGGATTTTGAATGCACAGGCGTATAGGGAAATGCGGGAAGAGCATGTGCAGATATACATCCTCCCTCCTCTCATTTTTCAAACCACGTGTTTCCTACCCATTTTCATCTTCGCCTCAGACCGCACCTTGGCCGTCAGCAGTATGTGGGCCCCTTTTTTTTCCTCTCTCTCCCTCTCCCTCTCTCTCTTTTCGGATTATGAAAATATCAGTCAACGTATACCGTCAATATGTTTCTTTATTTATTCTTTATTGTTGTTTTGGGTATGCGTGATGCCTGGGGGATACCAAGTGTTGGACACTTGTGGCGCGTGCCGTGTACATTCATTATTTGAATTATTTGGTCATTGGTAATGTGGGGGNGGGGGGGGGGGGGTGAATGGAGATGGGGAGAGATTCACAACTGCACTGGAACTGGTGGATAAAGGGAAGAGGGGATTAAAGGGTGTAGAATTGCCCTCTGGGGGTGGGAGGATATAAAAAGTGTAACCAAACCCTTCATCTCAGCCCCTCGAGCCTCAAGTACAATGGCTCTTTTGCACTTTATCTCCACACATCCGCAGGCGCTTTCAAATGCCGTAAAGGGAAAGCATTCAGTTATATCTCCTAGGTATAAAAATTTGAACAACAAATCTTGAAAAATCCAACGTTTGTAGTTTCACACAAATAAAGAGAACAGATAGGTGGAGGGGAAACGGCTGCAAGCTGAGGGACTTGAGTACACATAGCACATCTGATAGAATGAGCATAAGTATTTTTTCTTCCACTCAAATATGTGTGGAATAACATATTTTGGGTCTATTAAAAGTCGCTTTCAGGGTTCCGGTTGTCGCGAGTGCTGCAGCTGGTTCCTCAAACCCTCTTGGAAAAAAAAAATCTGCCACGTGCCCCATATCCCCCGCGAGACCGCCTTTAGCCGGTCAACACTTCTGTTCTTGTGAGGGATGAGATAAAAGGCGCTTTGGGTTTTCAATTTTTCGGGGAAAACGGAGGATGCGTGGACCTTCCTTGTCGCACTTCCTCGGGGGTGGGGTTATGGAAATGGAGCATTTTTCATCATCAGTAAGTGGTGGAGAGAAATGAATAATGATTTTTGGGAATTAGCGGGAGGGGGATGGTTTGTCAGCGAGTCTTTTAACGCGTTCTTTGAACATCGGAACTTCCTTAATTCTACACGGAGAGAAATATTCAATAAAAATTACCAGAAAAAAGACGTAAAAATTACGTTTCGAAACGTAATCTGGGAGCGAAGTAAAATTCAATAAAAAGTGTCAATCGTCACGTAAATTCTACGATCTGTTCCGTAAAAATTACTCAAACGTCCGACGCCTCACGGCTAGCCATGAGTCACCGTGAGGGGGAGATTTTAACACGTTCCGTAATTTTTCCGGTACTTTTCGTAAAAATTCTTAAACATCCAAGAATTTTCATGTTCTGAGGCATAATAAGTCTTGAAGTTTCTGTTAGATTTTACAACTTCCAGAAAAATTACGTGACTTTTTCGTATTTTTTCGGTGATAGATCCGAAAATTTACTGAACGTTTCAAATTTATTCTCTTATATTCCTATAGAAATTCACTGAAAACGATTCTCGCTTGCGGATTACGTGAAATGGTCCGTAATTTTTCTTGAATATTTCTCCGTGTAAGCCCGTTTTGCAACGATTGTGTTATTTAAACTTTCAAAATCTAAATTTGAAACATTCAAGAGATTTAACAAAATTGGAAAGTTTACTACTTGAGTGGATTCCATTATTTCAGTAGCGAAATGGTAAAAGGAGATGAGTCAATTTTGACTATTGACCAGTTTTCAATCATTATCTCGCAATCTACGGGAGATAGCAAACTGTTTGTTATAACCTTTTTTGTGGAGCCGATTGATTGCTACAACAAATGTAATTACGAAAATTTCGCCATCTCCCTTAGATTTGGAAATATTCCTCAAACACTCAACTGGGAGATAAGTCGACTTATCTCCGTTTACCACTTCACTACTAATTTCAACTTTCAAGATCGAAATTGGAAACATTCACGGAATTTCAAAAAATTAGAATTTTGAATTTCATAAATTTGTCGCGTGTCTAGAGTAGAGTAAAATTTATGAAATTCAAAATTCATTTATTCATAATCTATCGCGAAAAATTGGGAAAAATGAAGTTTTTCGTGGTAAAATCGATGGGGTCCGCGATTTTCCCTAGTTATTCCCATATTCCGTCATATATCCCAAACCGTTTAATGGCTCCCAAGGCCCAGTGAAGACTTAAGTTCCACCGACGTATCCCCTCAAAGAAATAATTCAATTTAACTTGGTATGAGAAAGCGCTTTCCTATCATCAAGAAATCCTCCTCGTCATTAAGACAAGCTCAACATTTCTTGACGAAAATTTTTTTTTCTCAGTGCAAGACATTTTTCTCTTGAAAATTTTCAAGCCACGAGTTTCATGATACAAGTTGGGGAGGTTGGGGTAAAACGGACACTTAACTTTTTTAAAAATATTAATAAGGGGTTGAAATGTTGATGAAATTTAGTAATTTTTTTTTTCAATACAAAGAACAAATCTTTCCTTTCGTGACGAGACTGAACTGAGCTCAATTGATGAATTTGTTTCAGAGTTACGAACAATTTAAAAAAAGTCTCAAGTGTCCCTTTTACCCCACCCTCCCCTAAATCCGAACTTTTCAAGAAACTCTTTTTCTCAGTGCAGTTAAAAACTCTCGTTAACAGCAACTAAATCCTTCCATCAGTGTACTAAAAAAAATCATGAGTATCATGAAATTAGTCACCATCAAAATACCTGGAGATTTCACCTCCAATAATACTGCGGGAGTCACGTATTGATCCAATTCAAACTGACCCAATTGACAAAATTACTCATCCCACCAACGTCATCTCCCCCACAAATACAAAAACGTTTTGAGTGACATTTTTTCAATTACCCACAGTCATGCAGATCCCCGGTCATCACAAGACCAAAATGATGTGTGACTCTTCAATAACGGTAACTACCCAGTGATGACTTCACACTGTAACCCCAAGAGTGGAAAATCGAGGTGGTGATAGTCATCTGGTGGCGGATGTTACGCGCAACTCGCGCAATTACAAAATAACCCGAAACGTAGGTGTCCAGTTCACGGTATGGAACTCAACTCGGATTATAAAAATTCGTGTGTGTAAGTGTTAGCGTAAAAGAAAGAGCAGTAACGATGTACATGAAACCAGGAGGGAAATGGCCAATTATTAATCAGAGCTAGAGCTATGCACGTGGGACGTCAGCAGTCATGTGTCGTTTGCGTGTGTCACCAACTTATATGCGACGCTTGCCCATACTTCCCCGCTCATACCACTAATTCGGGGCCCCTCAGAACCCCAGTGTATAGCGCCAATTCTAGGTAGATTCAGTCTTATCAGGCCTGTCGATAAACTCTCGATGAGATAAGATTGCATCAGTGGAATTTTTACCACTCAAAAAAGAAAAACGAAATAATAATTTCAGTGTGTGAGCGACCCTCGAGGCACACTACGCGAAATACAACACAATTATCCATAAAGAGCTGAGTCTGTTGCACCGCGTAACGAAATAAAAATCCCATAAAAAATAAATTAGTGTCATAAAGGAACAATGACATCATCAACGACAGTAAAACTCAATTTTGATTGAATCAGTCTCCCCTGAATTGGAATTCCTCTATTGTCAGTGGTTCATACTGTCTGTCATTATCCACAATTGTAATCACTTGTAATTACTTTTGTATTTTCAGGGAGACGACGACACGTGCGTCGAAATTGTGGCGGTGTACCAGGTGCTGTTGAATCGTCACAGGAAGAGGAAGCGAGAACGAGCGCACTGGATGGACAGTTAATAATTGATCCCCGGAGAATATCCGAGGATAGGCTTGATGACGTTAGACTGCGTTGTCTTCATTATCGTCGGCATATTGAGGAAAATAGATTAGATGATAAACAGAGATGGAAGCTCAACGAGGTTGTGGATACGAGTCGAAAGGAGGTGGAAAGTATTACGAGGATAGCGGAGATTCACAGGGGGTCGTTAACGACGGGTATACAGAGAACGTGTCCTGACGATAACAGTGATAACTCGAGATGTAGATCGAGTTCATCGTCGTGTCATCGGAATGATACGTCGAGGTCTCCTGGTGTTGCCAGGTTTCGTCGGAGACGTAGAATTCCATCGTACTTTGCAACATTACTCGTTCTTTCCTACACGTTGTTTGGAATAACAGGTACAGTGTGTTGACTCATTATTTTTTGCTTAATTGAAAAATTAATTGCTCAAATTAATCCAATTGTGATTTAAGAATGTATTACACCCTTTTCGTCAAAATTCAAGTTTTTTGAATTTTTCTGGCAAAATTGTTGACCGGATTGACGTGAAAAAATATACCGTTTTTGCGTTTTATCATTACTTAATAACTCACGAAATTTCATGATCGTGCAATCATTTTCCTGCATTTTTTCTAAAACTTCTCGGAAATTCAGAAAAAAATGCTTTAGAAAAAAATGCAGGAAAATCATTGCGCTACTATGAAACTTCGTGAATCAGTCAATAATGATAAAATGCAATAACGATATATTATTTTACGTCAATTCGATCAATAATTTGCCAGAAAAATGAAAAAAACGTGAATTTCGGCCGAAAGGGTGTAGTACATCCTTAAAATATTATTACCAATGCCATCTTGACTGAGTTCGATCGTTTGGTGCTGAACAAATTTATTTTGAAACGAATGTTCAGGGAAAGGTCGGAAATTTTAACGTTGGGGCAATGGTGAACCAAATTTCAAATACATTGGCATAGAAATTCCAGTCGGAAGCAAATTGCTAATTTAGTAATGTTTAATTATTACAGCAATTTCCCGCGAGTTTAGGAATTTTCCCGGGCTATCCTGGGGTTCCACGTATTTTTTCCTTTAGAGATTTTGTGGTTTTTCAAAAAGTGAGAGTGAACAAGTAATTTGGTTCTGAAATTTTCTGGAGATATTGAATTAAAAATGTTTCAAAGACGATATTCTTAATTTTCAAGACATTACATAATGATAATCCGAGAAAATTTGTAGTCTCTATTTTTAAATTTCTGTCATTTATTCTATTCATTCTATTAAAAGACAAGGATAGAAATCGAATTTATAGGTATTCTTCCATTATTCGAAAAAACATCGATTTTAAAACTTTCGGGAGACATTGAAAAATTAATTTTTTTATTTTATTGACAACAATAAAAAATTTAATGTTGGATGGTGAAGAGTGAATAAAAAGTTTTGGAATCCCTGATTGAAGAATATTTTTTCTCAATTCAAGAAGGAATATTCTTATTCCACGAATCAAATACTCTTGATTCAGAAAAATTCAGTCTATTAAGATGAATTTGAAGAGGATAATTAGCGAGTTGCCAACACGATTTATTGAAAATGTTTGAAAATTGAACGGTAAATGAAAAAAAATAAGCATTCTGTCTCAGATGCTTCAGAGTTTTCAGAATATTACAACCATGAATCATCCGAAATTAAATATTTTTTCTCTATTTCGATAACTATCAAGTCAAGCTGCAATATCCGCTGAATAAAAAGTTTAAGACTCCTTAATTCCAGAACCGTTTCTTCTCAGTTCCAGAGTGAATATTCTTGTTAAAAAAATCAAATCAGCAGCGAAGTGGTAAAACGGTCTAAGTCGACTTATCTGCCAGTTGAGTTTTTGAGGAATATTTCCGAATCTAAGGGAGACAGCGCAATTTTCATAATTGCATCTGTTATAGCTCCCAATTGGCTCTACAAAAAAAGATATAACTAAAATTTCGCCATCTCCCTTAAATTCCAAGATATTCATTGAAAACTGGCCAATAGTCAAAATTGACTTGAACCGTTCTACCACTTCGCTTCTAAAATACCCTCGAATCCAAAATTCTACGATGACTCTTCGAGTTTAAAAACCTACTCGTTCTTTCGTCCACGGTGTTTGGAATAACAGATACATCATGTTATTTTATCATTTTTTTCCCTGGCTACCCTGCGGTTTCACATTATATTTTGTCTTTAGATGTTTTTGGGCGCATTTTTGTTATTTTCTTTCGCCAATCGAGTGATCGTTAAATTTCAACAGGTGACAGATAGCAAAACCCAGGGCAGATGCGACCCCAAGTTTTGAGGCACAACAGAGCGCAAACGGTCGCCTTGTGTATATACTTGACGAGCCCTTGGCGCACACGCACTTTTTTTTTTCGCTTCTACAGTTTCTCCGTCTCTCTCTGCTTACCCCGTATAAGACTCTTTTTAAGCACCTCTCGAATATCGGGGCCCAGAGGCCCATTGTGATATTTCTAAAGCCATCAGCCGTGGGCCCTTTTCGCTATTATATTTATATTTTATTATTTTTTTTTCCTCCTCTTTCGTTCTCTCGTTGGGTTTTGATGCCAGTTGATTGTGTAACGTACACTTCCTATCGAATTAATCCATTGATTTTTCGGGGCCCCTGGGGTTTCTGAGTGGACCACAGGGGCCAGATTAATTCGAGTGTATGGGAATTTATCGGGGAAAACGGGGATTTGTAGTTTTTGTCTCTAGGTTTCAGCTTTTGTTAATTTAGAGAATGTAGAGCAACCGCCCACATCGGTTCCTATGACAGGATGATACGATAAATGAACCGTTTCACGATGATTATGATTGGTTAATGATCTAATTGGGGATAATTTTTCCGCTTGCAGACGCGTGCTCGTCGAGGTCGACGCCTAAGCCAAGACCACCAACACCGACACCAAGACCCAACATCACATTCCACATGTACACATGTCCACCGGATTATGCGGAATGGTACTGTCTCAATGGGGCAACGTGCTTCACCGTCAAAATCCAAGAGTCACTTCTTTACAATTGTTTGTGAGTATGATAATTCATTGGTATAAATACTTGGGAGTATTTTGGTAGCCCAGGGATTACATTCAATTTTAATTTTGTTTGTTGTTGTTCATTGAAACGTTTTGGAATTCTTCGAGAAATTATTTTATATTATTTATTATTTTAGTTGTAGAATTGATTACTTTCAATTCTGATTTTTTTGTTGTTTTTCAATGAAACGTTTTGGAATTTTTCGAGAAATTATTTTATATTATTTATTATTTTAGTTGTAGAATTGATTACTTTCAATTCTGATTTTTTTGTTGTTTTTCAATGAAACGTTTTGGAATTTTTCGAGAAATTATTTTATATTATTTATTATTTTAGTTGTAGAATTGATTACTTTCAATTCTGATTGTTTTGTTGTTTTTGAATGAAGCGTTTTGGAATTCTTCGAGTAATTAATATTTTGTGAGAGAGCAGATCAAATATCGAATTTTTTGACTTTTTTGAAATTGTGGGAATTATTTGTGATAACGACAGGATTTCGGTCCCGTTGTTTTTTGTATTGTCCAAGAACCCTTAGTTTATTATTCTCAATTATTAAAGCCCTTCGTGGACTGATGAGAAAGGGGTAAATAGAATTGAATTCTAATCTGAATTCATCAATTGTCACGAGATGTTTTTTAATTGACAATATTTTAAAGAGGATTTTGTGCGAGTTTCGAGAGGTTTTATTGGAATGATGTGAAAATTTAGTACTGGATGGAAAATATATGCATTTTGTTTCATGAGTTTTTAATGCTTTTTGAAAAATCTAACGTTTTTCTTCTGCATCTCGATAAATATGGAATCAAGCTTCAATTCAGGATAATTTTCCCAAGTTTTTACAAAAATATGCCATTCAATTCTGAATTTCTGTTGTTGTTAAATGAAAAGTCATGAAATTCTGTTTTTCTTCTCAACTTATCAATTAATTTTCTTGTTTCACGAATAAAATATTATCAATTCTGAAAATCTGAAGGGATTTTTCATTAGTTTTTATCGAACAGATCTAGAATCTTTATGCTGCCAGGAGAAAAATTCCGAAAACGACGACCAGTTTTACCCCAGAAGTTCCTGAGTTGTTCACATAATGAAATTCCATCTAACTAATTTCCAAAAATTGCTGGGGTAAAACATTTTGCCTCCTACAGAATTTAGTCTACCCCAGCACAAAAAATTGTCCTTAAATCAACAACGAATGCTCACATTTTCAGTGTTGCCTCATTATGAAGATCTTCCCTGTAAATTATTGTCCTCATTATTTTTTACGATACTATCATTACACCGGGGTTAAAGTGAATGAAACAGGGTGCGAAAGATCCCCGGACGGATAAATACAAAACCCAGGACTGATAAACAGAGCTCATTTTAATAGCAGCGATATGAAAAATATGAAAATTAAAAGAGGCAAAATAAACCCGAGGTTTCGTGTCAAATTGCCATCAGTCACCCAAACTCCTCTCATGATTAGGAATAATGAGAAATGCAATTTAACCGTGGTAGTTACCGAGGAATTACTCCGTGCATAATTCAAGATGAATTATTCTTCAGGTAGTCAGGGGCTAAAAATTGTTGAAATGAGGGGCGAGCGAGAGGGAGAGAGGGAAAAGAGAGTCATTCGTAACTCAAACACAGTAGGGGGGAATGTCTTGCGATCACTCTTTGCCTTGGATGACCGAGGCCACACGCTAAAATGCAGATTTCAGGCCTCTGACCTTTGATTCGAATATGCGCCAATGCGGCAAAATCCGTGCTTGGGGCTCGTCACGCTATAAGTGGGGCGGGGGTTTAGTGCCTTCCATGCTAACACGAGCCACCCATGGGCGATTGTTGACCGGTCGATTTTTCATGTGCTTTACCAGATACCTTTAGTTCGTTTTATTCAATGATTAAAGCCCTTCGTGGACTGATAAAAGAAGGGGAGACAGAATTGCATTCGAAGACTTTAGTTCGAGAATAATTCGAATAATTCTCATTCATCTATTAAATGGATTTTCATTATTCACGTTTTTTACAATGAGGGAAAACCTTCATAGATTGATGAAAGAAGAACATTCAACTAATTATTTTAATAAATTATTTTGTCACCGTGGACTTTTCATGTGCTTTACCAGATACCTTTAGTTCGTTTTATTCAATGATTAAAGCCCTTCGTCGACTGATAAAAGAAGGGGAGACAGAATTGCATTCGAAGACTTTAGTTCGAGAATAATTCGAATAATTCTCATGCAATTCATCTCTTAAATTAATTTTCATTATTCACGTTTTTTACAATGAGCGAAAACCTTCATAGATTGATGAAAGACGAACATTCAACTAATTATTTTGACAAATAGACAGAATTGTATTTCAAAACTGTAGTTTGAAAATAATTCGAATAATTCTCATGCAATTCATCTCTTAAATTAATTTTCATTATTCACGTTTTTTACAATGAGCGAAAACCTTCATAGATTGATGAAAGAAGAACATTCAACTAATTATTTTGATAAATTATTTTGTCACGGTGGACTTTTCATGTGCTTTACCAGATACTTTTAGTTTGTTTTATTCAATGATTAAAGCCCTTCGTGGACTGATAAAGGAAGGGGAGACAGAATTGTATTCGAAGACTTTAGTTCGAGAATAATTCGAATCATTCTCCTATGCAATTCATCTTTTAAATTAATTTTCATTATTCACGTTTTTTACAATGACTAGAACCCTTCATGGATCAATTAAAGACGAACATTTGGTTTTTTTTTCTCTTGAAAATCAATGATTTTGACAAATTATTCTGTAACAGAACAGAACAAGTATCGAATGATCTTAAGGAGTAATTTTAGGAAACAGTTTCGATTCTTATTCCTTCAGAATTCTGGCAATCCCTTGTGATTATTCAAATAATTCTCATATTCAATAATAACGCAGTAATTCTCACCAATAAAAAAACTCTAGGAATCTTCCCCCATCACTGCTTACCGGGATAAAACCACAATGAAATCCCACCTGAATCTCCGATATCACACTATCGAAAACACTGGGAAAGCGCGGGAGTATTGAGAAACTCTCCTCATAGCCTCTGTATTCCAGTGTCTCCTCGGTCGCAGGTTTCAATGCGAAACGAAAAGAATTTGGCGGATCGCGTCCGACAAAGCGACGAGCGTGGGAAACGGGAAGCTCGAACGAGCACGACTCCCTTTTATTATTTATCCTGTTTTTTTTTTCTCTCCACCTCCTCCTCACTCCTGGTTTTCTCTCTTTTCCACTCTCTGTTGTACCTGATTCGTTTAAAGCCCACCATTTCAGCGTCATCTTCACTGCGGTAGATCTCCTCTCCAGCCTTCCGTGGTCGTTTCTTTTTCAATTATCCGCTGAGGACGAAGAAACTGCGCCGATGGGGTGGGGTAAAGGAGTTTATGTAAAAACTGAATTTTACACCAGACGCTTTGGCCAATGGAATTATCCCTAATGTTGTTTAAAAAAAAGGGGGAAAACAAACAAAGCTGAATGACGGTTTTACACATGAGAGAATAATGTAGAGAGAGAGAGATTCGACACTGGGATATTTGGGAATTTCCATCGGTCCAAGAGACTGGAAAAAAAGGGATGAATTCTTTTGACTCGAAAAATCTTTTTTCCATTTGTCCTCGGCCTTCCACTCCCTAAAAAGAGGATAATCCGGGAGTTGGCTGGTGAAACACGTACAACGGTAAATTCCATGGGGGCTTTGCGGATATATTAGAGGGGGTAACAAATATATTGAATATTTGGAATTGAAAGGAACGAGAGAATGGAGAATGAAAGATTCCGTTCTACTTATCTCATTTTCTCGGTCTCATTCCTCGACTACCATGTCGGCACGCTTGGGAATTTTTTCTACTCAATTTTTCCACGTACATTTTTCCAGGCTCCTCTCGGCACTTTTTGGGAGAGGGGGGGGGNGGGGGGGGGGGAGTCCCTTTCGGGGAACATGGGGCTTTTTCGGGGGCGTAATTTATTCATTGCACGTGCTCGAAAATTTTCTATGAGTTCCGAAAATTCAAGCATTGTGTCGCGCCGTTTTTTTACAGTGAGAGAGAAAACTCACTCATCACGAAAGTAATTTCTTCGACTAAATGGATCATCTGTTTAGGACGAATGACTTGGGGCTGTAAGTCCGGAGAATGATACAGGTCATGTGAGAGTTGTGTCAGGTGTTCGTGACTTCGCAATGAAGTGGGATTTTTTTTTGTATCAAGCAATCGATTTTTCGGGTCAAGGAATGCGAAAATGACTCAAAATACTAAATGCTTCGATTCCATCAATCGCGAATCAGGGGCTTTCATGTTCAATTAATGCAGAAATTATGCAAAAGAATCGCAATGAGTTATGCAAAAGAATCGCAATGAGTTTGAAGGATTTGCGGAAAAAAATGACCCTATTTTTTCATTCTTATCTTTTCTTATGGTTTTTATGGAGAATCCTATCTACTTCTAGAAAAATAATTTTTCATTCAGTGTCGTACACTGAGAAAAAACTGTATCATCACAAGGCTACAATTTATTCAGGCAAATATATCATCTCTTTGGGACGAATGACTGGGGACTAGAATTTCATGAAGGGTTCATAGCTTGAACATGCAGATTTCACGATGAAGTGAACATATGTGTACGTCCGTATGAAAAGGGCCCACTTTGTCGCATTTAGTTTCCGAGATATTCACGTTTTTCTATCGACGTTTCCCATTTAACCCAATGTTAAATTATTTTTTCGATCTTCGATAGCGACGTTATTTTTCACACTTTCGGGGTCACTTTTGGCTCAAAATGTGCGGAATCGTACTAAGATTACTGCAATATACATAACTCCAATACCGCCCAAGTGGGCCCTTTTCATGCGGACGTCCACATATTTGGTTTCAGCAAATCGTTTTTTTTTTTCGTGTCAGGAGATGCGAAAATGACTCAAAATACTAAAAGCCTCGACCCGGTTAATCCCGGATCAGGGGCTTTCGTACTGACTAAATGCAAAAGTCGTGCAAAAAAATTCCCAGGCATTCCTATCTGTTTGCACACTGAGAAAAACAGTTTTTAGAGAAGTACTCGTGGCTTGAAAATTTTCAAGAGAAAAATACCTTGCACTAAGAAAAAAAAACTTTCGTCAAGAAATTTTGTGCTTTTCTTAATGACGAGGACGATTTCTTGATGACAAGAAAAAGATTTCTCACGACATTTACTATAATATCTTCCATGAAATTTCAAAAATTCTAACAGTGTTGCGTAAATTTCGCGGTACGTTCATTGTGGCGTTACCCTTAAGGGGAAACGGAACCCCTGCGTTTATATGAATCTTTAGAATTGTGTTTTCTCCCGTAATTATTATGTTTTATTCATTAAACTACTTCATTGACTCAACAATGCGATAATCGAGTCGATAAAGTAATTTCATAGATAGAAATTAATAATTGTAGGAGAAAACCCAATTCTAAGATTTGATGTAGACAGAGGGGTTCCGTCTCCCCTTAAATCTCACTTTACGCACAAGTAACAAAAATTATTTTTGGGATATTCAATGACTTTTTCGCTCGGTGTATAAATCGTACAAGGAAGTATCTCGTGTGCTTAATTTGTAACGACGAGTTAATGTGCAAACCCTCGTGGGAATGGCATCAATTACGGTTCCACAATTAACCTTAATACCCGAAATATGGAGACGAAAAAAGAAATATAATGGTAATTGTCAGACCCATGATCCATCAGTTCCGCTACTAATTCTGAGGGAAATCCAGACAAAACTGAAAAGTCACTCAACAATTGAGTGATTAACGTCTCGCCGACGCAATTGCACTCCTATGATATTTAATTTTAATTGTAAATTGCACGGGGAGAGGTGTTACGTGGCCTGTACGACTCGTCTGATTATTTACTTTTTACACTTGCAGATGCGCCAATGGGTTTATAGGGCAGAGGTGTGAGTTTAAGGACTTGGATGGTTCCTATTTGCGTAAGTATCATCTCACCTCTTGCTTCACATCGTTATTTCCACTTGAGAATTATTTTTTAATGAGTTTTTATTTATTTTTTTTCATTCAGCTTCCAGACAAAGGGTAATGCTGGAAACCGCCAGCATCGCCGGAGGTGCCACTATAGCAGTATTTCTCGTCGTTATTATTTGTATAGCGGCTTACATTCACTGTAAACGTAAACAGAAAGAATTGCGATCGAGGTAAATAATGAAAAATTATTTTGAGAGGAGTGAGAGGATGCGACGACGTGACAAAACAGAATGAGTCAGTTTTCGGAACTGATGAATCAAAAAACTTTTTTTTTGTGGCTCTTTATCTTTTCAGAGCAATGGAAGAATATTCTTACTCGTGTTAATAATGCCTGTTGCAATATATCAATTTTTATTTTTTTGTTATAGTGTTTTATAATACAGTAATATTTTTATAATATCTGTTTAAGTTGATTCCGCCCTTAGCTGAGTTTTTCGTAATGACCTTTTTTGTGGTGCGAATTGAGGGCTGCAAAGAAGGTCATGAGAAAAATTTTGCTATACCTCTTAGATTTCGAGATTTTCATTGAAAACTGGCCAATTACTACTGATATAGTAATATTAGAAAGGGATTCGGGAATGATTGAATATTAATTCAGCACTTATTGATTTACCATTCAGATGATATATTTTGATTATCTGAGGATTAATAAACATGAGTAGATTAATTTTATAATAAAAAAATCATCAATTCAAGTGCAAGAATGAAGAATGAGTCCCGAGCTTTTTGTCTCAAAAGCCTAAAAACTGAGAATTTCATGCCTAGAATCGAGTAAATATTACTGAGAATTCGAACTTCTAAGGAAAATAGTCTTAAAAAATGTGAAAATTTCATTTATTTCCGAGATTTTCTACTCTCTTGATTCCAATACAATAGAGTTTTGCAATCCCGAGATATTTATTGGAAACTGGAATACTTTTTCCAGCGAGATTTTTTAAAGATCAAAGAAGGTCTTCAAAAAATCTCACTATTTTTCTCAAATTCTGCAATATTTAACAACAAATTTCAATGAAATTGATTCACTCTGTCTTGCCACTCAACTTCTCATAAAAAAATAATTAATAATAACAAATAATCTATCCTTTTTTTGTTAATTGCAGTAATAACTGCGTGGACACAGTGGATGGTCCTGGTAGAGATCCGGAGCTGAGGCCGTTCAGTAACCGCAGCCGCTCCCTCATGATCTTCATGGCCAAGAACCAAAATTCTTCGGTAAATAATCCACCCCTAATTTCCCCCAGAAATTCCCCAAAATAACGCGCTCATATTTCACCGAGTGATGTAAAAAAGAAAAGAACAAGAAAACTGTCAAGAATTTTCTAAAAGAAAATTTCCGTAAAAGCTATCTCCCGATAAAATCTAAAACACCCATTAAACAGATAACTATAATTAGCCAGATACAGTATCAAACAATTTAAAAACCATCGCAATTAAAATGTAATTAATACCCCCTAATCTCTGGTTTCAGTCAACGGCGATGTGTCCCTCGATAGAGCAAACCCGAATGCCCGTATGGAATGACTACTCCCAGGTGGAAATGACGAGACTAGCCTCGATAAGCGAACCCAAACGCTCGAGTCAATAGTCACCAAGGAATTTAAAAAAAATATATATATATACATTTCGACTAAAGCCAATACTCTCACCAAGATTCTTCGCTTTTATATATAAATAAGAAATAACAAATCTATATATTTATATACAAGCGACAGAATTTAAGACCTTTATCGAACAATAAAAGGGGTAAATTATTTCCGCGTTTTTCTTTTTAACAGAGGAGGGTGGCGGAGGGGGGGGGAGGGAGAGAGAAATGAGAATAAAGATATATACTTAGTGATAAAGGGTAATGAGTGAGGAAAAGGAATATTCACGTGTGTGACTATATATTTTTCGTTGCTCGTTTCTCCGATTACTTGCTCCTTCCTCCACCAAGTTTCGTCGTTTCACGCTCAATGAGCCTCAAGAGTGCCTTCCAAAGTGTCGGGGAAGGAAGCGAGCTTTCATCAATCATCATTGCCCCCCCCCCCCAGAGTCTAGTGCGCAAACAACTGTGGAAAGACTAAAAACTTTTTTTTTATTTGTTTTTTTTTTTCATTACAATGAGAAAGAGGAGGACTTTTTCTAAAAACATGCATAAGTAATTTGTATATTTGTAGATAGAAGTTTAATACCTAGCTCTCCCCAATGCTCTGTTATCACGACAATCGTGAAGACTCGATTCACAATCCACTGCTTTGCCTGATCTCTTCCCCGGGGAGGGAAATGTAGAGCAGGGGAACTGAGGAAAAAGAGAGAGAGAGAGAGAGAGAGGTGGAGAGGAAAACGATGATACGAAGCTATTCCCCATACCCCTGCAGTATTTTCTTTCGTTAAATTTCGGTGAGGCCTAGTCGTTACCAGTGGTAGAAATGATAACAATGAAATTAATGGGTTCAACAAAATAGTACGACGAGATAATCTACAAGAAGGCCTCGAAAAAAAAAAATCTAAATTAATGATAACAAGAAATTAATATGAAACAAAGTCGTACAGTAAGACGAAGAAAATTTATAAATAGTCCATAGTTAAGCGTATTATAATTTAATTTCCTAGTTAACTTCGTATTGTAATTGGTTCCTAATTTATTCTTATTCTTGCTATATTATTACGAATTATTATCTTATCGATATTCTACGATTAATTGAATTAATGTCTATTGGTAATAACTAGAGATGAATTCCGGGTGGGAATTCATTGAGACGTAAAACAGGAAAATTAATGTAAATGGTAGAACGAATGCGATTCAATGAATGATGATAACGAGAAAGATGAAAAAAAAAAAGCTTTTGTAAGAGTCCAGTACCAGAGGTGGCCTTTCAGTTTTTCTAAAAAAAAAAACAACTTCAAATGAGTGAAAACAACAATGCTTTTCTTCCTGATTATATAGAGTAATGAGACACAAAATTATACACATTTTTACACGTGAGCCGTGTATGCACCATTGAAAATTGTGTATAGCGAGGTCAATTAGGCAGATATAGATTAATGAAGAAATATGAAGAACAATTAACACATGAATAAGACAGACTGTAGACAGTTGTGGTATTTTAGTACATCAGACAGCGTCGCGAATTCACCAAGAAGTGCATTATAATCAGGGGCCCATTATATTCATAACGTTTGATGAACGGTAAATTGGCATTGATTCGAAATTCATTCGAAATAATTGTATTTGAAATTCATTGATGAGCATTTCTGCAGTGTTTTCACCCCGTAGAAGCTCTCGAACGATGGAGCATTGACTTTGTCGTCAATCGTCGACTGCTAATGACTATTCAAAATTCCTATGAAAGCCCATTAAAGACGATTAATTGATCTGAAGAAATCAACTGGTATTGTTCTTTTTTTTTCTGTGAATATTTTCGTGAAAAATTCGTCTCTTATATTTGTCCCATTGTAATAGTTTCTTTTTCTCATGATAATCAGTCGGTCCCTTGTAATGACTTCTTGCTGTATCGCGTTGGCATTCATGACCGGCGGATGGTGGGAACCCCGTCCGACATACCCAACCCCCCCGTTAATTTATTTGCGGTGTGAGTTAAACGTTGAAATAATGTGAAGAAGCTGTCCGTTGAAAAATGTACCAAAGACACGTCATTGAACTGATAAAAATAAAAGAAAAATGATTTAACGAAAGAAGTAAAATGCAAATTAATGACATTGTACGAAATAGCAGTTAGAGGATGCGCGATGGGAAATGATACAAATGTTCATTCATTATTTTTTTTTTCTCTCGAATTTATGGTAATATTCGTAGTAATGATATCAGGAAAATATGTGAAATTGTGAATGCGTCGATTGGTGAGGCATTTTGAGGGAATTTCAACATCTGGTAATAGTTGGCAGAGTGTTTACCGCGTTGGGTAATGCTTATTATTCATTATTTTTGTAATAAAGAACCAAATGCAAATTCATGAAAGTTGATGATAAATATGAACATTTTGAGATACAAAGACATTTATTATACCATCAAGAACTATGTAATAGTACCATTGTATTACCTAGCATGCTCTGCGTATGGAAGGCTTACGAGTATGTTGAAAATATTATTCTTATTATATCATTATTAATTAATTATTACTATTCAAAAAATGGAAAAACAAAAATCGCCTGTATGTTGTCTACCAAATTTATTTAAATAGCAAAAACAAAATGAATCTGTTGCATCGGAATTTTTCGATGGTGGAACATCATTTCAACTCTTCTTATTGTTTTTTTTCTGTATTGTTATGATTGGAGTTCCTGGCTTGGTGGAATGAAAGCGTTCATTCTTTTTGTTTTTATTTCTCGTTTTTCTCGAGTTTATATCGGGTTCGATGAACCCAGAGATCCTATAATTATGGTCTGAGCGATAGAGCATGAACGAGGATTTGAATATTCATCGGATGTTGCATTCAAACGCGGAAGAAAGATGCAGAGGTGAAGGAGAATTTCCGAGGATTGGGGACAATATTCGAGTGCAGATATTGTTTCATTCATTCATCGACTCGTTTACGTATGGAATTCCTATGGGACATTCAATCGAGAGCAGCGATGGCCATCAATATTACATTTCTCCAGTATTAAAAGGATTTCCGACTTACATTGATAAAGGTTTAGATATACTCATCAAAATTAAAAAATAGTATAATATTAATAAATTATTTTCCGATTGATGATTAATTAAATATTTGATAATATGAAACTGTAAATTTTGCATTAAGTGAATAATTCTAATTTCGTAAAAGGGATTTTCGATTAACCAAATGATCGTCAATCTGCCTATTTAAATGGATGATTTCTTAAATAATTAAAAGTTTAAGAGTGATGTTAACTAATTGACGACTTCAAAATGAACGGTAATTATGATTTATGACTGCCTATCCCTGATCGACGAATAAACTATTGATTTTTAATTAGTGATTTTGATTCAGCATGGATCACTCTGAATGATTTATTTACTTATTTATCACTCTAAATTATTGGCATATCCATTTCCTGATGGAGATATTCAATCGCAAATTTCATTCAACTATCCTTTGAGTCATTCTCTTTGAAAATTTTTGCCGAATATTCAGTCAAGTGATGAATAGTTGATTCTAAATTATTCAAATTGATTCATCATTGGATAATTCTTCATTATTCGGCATGCCCAAGGTGAGGGGGTGATTAATAATTGATTTTGCTTAATTGAAATAGAAGAATTCAAATGTCTGGGGGATATAAACAAAAGAAAATGCAGACAAAATTTTTTACCTGTTGATAATCTGCTCATTTACAGATTTCATTTATTCATTGATTCATTCTCAATTCACCTGTGAAGATACAAACTGTTATAATATGTATCTGCGAAATACAATAGAAAATTCCCAGATTGTTAAAACTCGATGAAAATATTCAACTCATTTTCGCCCAAAGTTTCCACAACGTCCAACGATTTTAACTGATCAAAATCGATTCAATACAATTAATTGGAAATCATTTATTAAACTCGATGGGAAACGATGCTTCATCATTTCCTTTATTTCAATTTCATCGATTCACAAAATACAAATTATTACGATATCTACAAATAATGAGAAGACCCTGAGAATAAGATGAGATCCCCCCCCCTACGATATTAAATTACTAATTTCATTAGATTCATTCGTTTATCCCCTGACGAGCCCCAAAGAATTGATCCTACCTCATGAAAAGTAGAGTTCACCATGAATAATTCGTTACTCTCAGTCAAGCAATCCCCTTCTCTCCAATTTCTCCATGAACTCACAAGCCACCAGCATGTTTACGACTCTTGGCTCTAATTTGACTCCAGTGTGGCCCTCGCGAAGCAAAGAACGCATTCATCTGCTCGTGCAGTAACTCCGGTAGCGCTCGAGTGGGCTGCCAGCTCAGAACAGAGGCAGCAATGTCATCGAACCTGTGACGAGATAAACTCATTAGCGCAGAAATAGCGCCTTCCTGGAGGTCCGGGGATCCTGTGTCGGACTCAGCGAGGGCCTTGAGTTGTTCCATAATTTTTTTGACAGGCCCATCCTTATCCGCCAATGGAAAGGGCCTCAAGAGGAACCCCAGGAGCTTCAGGGGATGGTAAACCTCCGAGCACTTTCCTTCCACAATCATCTTCATCAGTCCCCTCTGGATGATATTCTTGTATGCCCACTCGGGCCCCTCTCTCTTCGACAGCAGTAAAATCCCAGTCTCCACGGACTTGTCATAATTCCTCCCAAGAGCCTCCAGGAGTTTGCCCCCAAGAACCTCAGAGGGATCGTTCTGAGGGTATTTGAAGAACCCTTTGATGAGCTTCTTCACCTGCTCACACTTGGAACTATCGTTCACCGGGTGCGATCTGATGATATGAGCAATGCTGACTGGCAGGTGCTGATCCTTCTCTGCATCAAACAGGGGCAACACCTCGGGCCAACAAGTCAAGACCGCATGGAGAACGATCACACTCTTCTTCTGGAGACCGTAGATAGCGTCGCAGCACATTATCCTCACTCGTTCACGATCCTTCCTGATCCTCGCCAGGACAGTATACAATTTCGAGAGCTCTCCAACCGCCTCCCAGGAGGGAGTGGAGCTCAACCTGAAAAGGATGTACTCAATCCCCCGGAACACGAAGTTAATCAACTCTGGAATTTTCGGGTCGAGATCTTTCAGGAGAGTCACGATCCTCTGGAGACTCTTCGTCATGGGAGGGGCTGGAGGAGTGTACGTGAGGTCCAGGGGTTCGTCAATCTCTGATCTGTCGATCACGAAGTCGATGGTGGCTTTTGCTACTGTTCTTGGGCTCTTCGAGTTTAGAATTTTGGCGGAGACACTCGTGTGGAGGGCGTCCTCCCAGCCTGGGGATTCCACCAGTCTCTTCAGCTCCTGTTTTATGAGAGTCTCTGCCTTTGACTGGAGGATTTTCGATACCTCGAAGGCCCTCGGCTTTCTTCCTCGACGTTTTTTCGTTGCCAAGAGCCAGTTGTCCAGCAAATCCTCGACCTTTTCGGGCCCTTGGGGGTCTTGGGGACCTGAGGGCTCTGGGGGAGCTGCAGGTGATGGGGGAATTGACGGGGAAGGGACTGGGGAGTCTGGGGGCTCGACTGACTCCTTTGAAAGTGAGGGCTTTTGCTTTACTGGACTCACGTGGATCTGTCTGTTTCGTAATTCTCTTATGCAGTTTGAGGGGTCTTGAGGAGGCTCACTGTCAGAACCATCAGATACTGCTGCAGTTTCGTAAATCGAAGCGATTTTTATCGTCTCTGAGGGAATCTCTGGAGGGTCTCCAGTTGGAGATGCTGGAGGCTCTTCTCCTGGAGATGCTGGAGCCTCGTCTATCACCAGGTCAGACTCCTCGATAATTTCTAAATTTTTTTCGACTGCAGATTCGATAGTCTGAACTACCTCTTCCTGAGGCCTTGGAGTCGATGCACCTGGGTTATTTGAGATGTTATTGACAGGTTCCTCTACATCCTTCTTATTTTTGTCGTCTGCGGACTTTCTTAATGACCGAGTCATCCTCTTCTCGCCTGAATTCACCGAAGTCGAGGTCTCTGCAGGTTCCCACCGATCATCTTCCATTATTTTTAAGGGGAAGGGGAGCTCTGACTGTTTGGGAACGTGTGCAATTCGTTTCTTCTTCCCTAGGACATCTGCAGGAGTGACAGTCTCCGCACCTCTTTCATCTCTACTCAAAATACTGGGAATTGTTTTAACCGCTGCTTTGTTCTTCTTCAATCGTTTCAAGTTCTTCAACAAATTGGATCGAACGTTGACTGGCTTTGGTGGATCGTCTCCTCGTTTCCTTCTCTTGGGAATCGTCTCCTCAGGCACTGAACTCGATGACGACTCGAGACGCCTTCGTTTTTGAGGTGTTGAGGGGACGGAATTATTCTCGTTGAATAAATTCACTTCGGGTTCTGGGGATGGAGATCTTTCCCGGGGGTCAACTCTCGATTCCTCAATCACTGTCTTAGTTTGATTTCTTCGTCTGTCGTTTCTCTGTGAAGACGCTGGAGTCTCCTGCCTCTTTCTAGGACTAGACGCTCTCGATGGATTAGTAATCCCTTTCGCAGATTCTCGCCTTCTGCCACTTCTGTCTGAAGACATTGAATTGAAATTCCCTTCAGGTTCCAAAATTTCGGAAGAGCTTCGTTGGGGACTGGCACCAGGTTCATCAGCTATTTTTCTAAGAGTCTCTCTTCTTCTCCTTGCGATTCTATCTGAAGACATGGAGTTGAAGAAATCGTCCTCTGGGTCTCGATCACAATCCTGTCCAGCATTTCTCGAAGAATTCCTGGATGATGGTGGACGAGGTCTGGGGAATGAACCCCTCTCGTCGCGACCTCCACGTTCTTCGTCAGACTCCACGTCCCAGGTGTCAGAACTCAAATCCATCTTCTTCGCTCTTCCCTGACTTTTCTTCATTCTCATAGAGAATGACTTCCTCTGGCTCTCCCTTCGACTCTTCATACCCTGAAACCCAGGCAGCTGCATCATCCTGGCAAAGACCTCTGTCATCATGTTGAATTGGGAGGGTTGATTGAAGGAATTATTGTGGCTACAGTGAGCCAGCGATTGTGAGTGGTTGCAGCACGAGGATTGCTGAGAAATTTCCGCCCTCTTCTGACGTTTCAGTCGCTTCTCCAGGAGTTTAACTCTCCTCTGGAGGCTGTCTAGAATTACAGGATGATGCGATTCCCCTCTCTCTGGGGATTGCCTTGTCCTCACAGGTCGAACAGGTGGAGGAGGGAGTTCGGGAATGTTAGGGGGCAGTCTCGTTGCCTTGCAGATGACATCGTCTGGCGATTCCTCCAGCAACTGCTCGCATCTCTCACAGAACAGGGGGTAAGGATTGTCTTTGATACTGTAGAACTCATCAGTCATTATATTTTTGTCCATTGTCACTGGTTTTGGAGGGGAAATAGATATGTCAACGTTCACTCCAATTTCTCTCACTGATTTTTTGGGAATTTTTGCATTTTCGTGAACTGGAATTTCTCTCATCGATTTTTTGGGGCTTTCATCATCTTTGTTGACCTCAATTACCTTCGATTCTTTGATGATTTTATCGTCTTCATCGAGTGGACATTCTTCTACTGATTTTTGGACGATTTTATCGATTTCGTCTGGTGGATTTAATTGTGGAAGCTCCGGTGAATCCTCAGGAATATTCTCGGGGATTTCTTGAGGGACTTCTGGGATTTCTGGAGATTTTGGGGGATCTGGGGGCAGATCGTCGTCCTCAATCATTCCCAGACTAGCAGTACTCCTTGATTTGAATGGACATGCTTTGGCTAGTTTCTTGTTTATCTTTTTAGGAGACTTCCTCTCGTGAACTCTGCTGACTTTTTTAATCTCCTGTTCTAGTTCTTTTACTTTGGCCTGGAGTACCGACTTCTCGAGCTCAATCTGCATGACCCTCTCGGAATGCCGATCCTCAATGTCCTCGACTTTGCAGCTGAGTTGCTGGACCAGACGTTGATCACCAGCCATCTGCGTTTCCTGCTCCGTCACGAGTTTCTCGAGCCTTTTGTTGGCTTCTTGGAGCTTTGTGTTCTCCATTGTCAGCTTGACGGTCTTGGCTGTGGCCGTCAAGTGCTGCTGTTTGAACCTTTCGGATTCTCGTTGGCATGATTCTAACTCACTTCGCAATCTTTCACACTCCTTTATTTTGTTGCTGTATTGTTGGATGAGATCGCTGAAACAGAAATTCAATAATTGGGAGCGCTTGGTGATGCACAGCTCAGAGACAGAGTCTTGTTTGGACCAGTTAAATCACAAGTTAAGAATAGGGAACTTGCATGAATTTTTTTCAATTTTGTAATCTCAAGTTTGAGACCTGAATAATTCATTTCTCATCCACAAACGTGCGAAACACACGAGTGATTTTTCCTAAAAAACTTGAAGAGTTCGTTTGTATGCAGCGAAACTTGAGGAAAATACCTGATTAATTTTCAAGCTCGAGTATTCGAAAGAATTTTGCCATTCAAATTTCGACCAAGAGAATTGCACTATGAGACAAAGTCTATCTGTCAGTTCCAACGAGGGGCAGTTGAATAACGTGTTGACTATACAAAATAACAGTGGAATAGTGCAATTCTATTGGCCGAGACTTGGATGGGGAAAATTCTCTATAAAAAGAACGGGGATAATCGTAAGAAAAATCCATTTTCTAGGGATTTACCTTAAAATGTGCGGAATGTTATCAGTATTATCAACATTATATACATAACTCCATATCGACAAATTGGGCTTTTCATGCGGATGCTCACACACAAGAAACTACTTTGACTGTTGATAGTTTGGCAACAACATTTACAAAAATTCTGAAAAAATTCATAGATAATCTCACGATTGCGATGAACATCCTATAACAATCTTGAATCAATGTCACTACATTCCCCCCCAAATGACACCCTTGAAAAATGACTCGTTTTATTCAACTCTCCCCAACATATTTTTTTATTGAAAATTTGAGATAGGGGAGGTTGGGGTGAAACGAACGCTTAACTTTTTTTTAAATGTTGACGAGGGGTTGAAATGTTGATAAAATTTAATAATTTTTCTTTAAATACAAATACCAATTCTTTCCCTTTGTGGCGAGCCTAAACTGAGCTCAACTGATAAATTCGTTTCTGAGTTATGAATAATTCTAAAAAAGTCTAAAGTGTCCATTTTACCCCACCCTCCCCTACGTCTTTATACAATCTCCTTATAAACTATATAAATGTTTCTGAAGGCGAGGAATTCCTATGCAGAAGAACGATTGTCACCGGTTTATTTTTGTTATAAACGTGTCAAATACTCACTGAGACCGAAATAATTTCTTCTTCAGCAGTAAGAACGATTGATTCATCTTCTCAGCCTTCTGACTATCGTCCTGTGAACAGTGATTTTTGTTAATTAAAAACATCCTAGTTGGGCGATAAATGCCGAAAAATAAATTGGAGCATAACCTCAACACCAACAACAACTATTAAAGTATTCGCTTACCCCGAAACCTAATCCTATATCCAAGTTATCTTCTAACGCAGAAGATTCTAAACCCTCCTCCATCATTATTCACACAGCAATAAATTACTGAATAGGTAATTAAACTCATAGATAACTTTATTCATTCAAAAACAAACGCGAAACGTGCTCCGACGTCGGCATTCGTTTGCTTTGCCGGACAATTGATGAGCTGATTGGATACAGTGCTGTAATCAAAGAGGATAGACTAAAGTAGAGGCTGAGATCAGGCAGTTACGACCCCATGGGAGGGATGGCTCCACGGTCGATCGTCGGTAAAAAAGAGTTGAGGAGGCGGGGCCTCGACAGTGCCACCCCGGCTGTTTATTTTGTTTTTCAGGTAAAATAAATTATGATTCGTGTAGGAAACCACCAGAAGACTCATAAATGATATCGGGTAATTTCCAACGGGTGGGTCAAGCCACAGGGATAGAATGACCTAAATGAATACAGGGGCGGGTGGGGTAAAACGGACACTAGACTTTTTTAAAATTATTCATAACTCTGAAACAAATTGATCAATTGAGCTCAGTTTAGACTCGCCACAAAGGGAAAGAATTGTTCTTTGTATTGAAAAAACAATTATTAAATTTGATCAACATTTCAACCTTCACCTCTCATTAATATTTAAAAAAAGTCAAGTGTCCGTTTTACCCCAGCCTCCCCTATGACAGTCTCCAAAATATAAATCATAAATGGAAGTTCAACGGGTAGCTATGCCAATCAATTCAGTAGCGAAGTGGTAAAACGGTACAAGTCAATTTTGACTATTGACCAATTTTCAATGAATATCTAGGAATCTAAAGGAGATAGCAAAATTTTGATTCTAATCTTTTTTGTAGAGCCGATTGAAAGCTACAGCAAACGTAATTATGAAAATCTCGCTATCTCCCTTGGATTCGGAAATATTCCTCAAAAACTCAACTGGGAAATAAGTCGACTTAAACCGTTTTACCACTTTGCTACTGAATTCTTTGTTTCTTTTTCTTCTTTCGGAATCCTTCATTAGTTACAATTTCATGTAAATTGAACTTTGGGTGAAACTTGAAAATTCGTTTACTGCACGTAAAACAATTTTTATTCACCAGTATTAATTATCATATACATGGATATTATGCATTAAATAAATAAGTGCACATTGTACATAAATCTCCCAAATCCGCGTCAAATTGATATTCAATCAATAAAAGAATTGACAATGAAGAACTGTAAATTTACATGGATATACACACAAAAAATTAAGTGGAAACGGTAGGAGAAACCTTAATTTCGATACATTTTGGTGGCCGACTGAGAATTATCTGAGTTGCTCATAAAAATGCAGTACAGAATAGCTTCACTCAATGGTGTCTGGGGGCTTTCATCGTAAGCTGATACATCTTACACTGCACTCCAGTGTTTTCTACAGCATTCAAGTGGATAATTGATACACAATGGATGTATATTATACACCTATCTACATTTTATATGCAGGATGAATTATCTTGTTTACGCGTGGATTTCCTGGAGTTTACGACACGAAGGGGTGTCGATGTTTTTTGCCTTCTGGAATAGCTCGGCGTCGCCGAAGTTTCTCGCCTTCCAGACCATTGAGTCCTCTGTAAAAGAAGAAATTAGGAAACTTAGGAAAATTATTTGAACATTGATGAAGATGAAAACGAAGAAACCACACTGTTCACACGTTTTCTTGTTGTTATGACTGATAAATCATGCAAATTTTTTTCAATCGTTCCGGATGTTTCATTCTTTTTGAAAATGAAAACAATATGAATTTAAAACTCTTTCATTCAATCATCGTACTGCATCAATTTAATCGCTAAAAAATGCACCCGAGAACTCAATTATGAGAATTTTTCTATTATCAATTCATTATTTGAGCATGGATGCATATGTGATCGAAAAAACCACACTGGGCATGTATTCTCTTGTTATTATAACTGATTTACCAAAGCATAGAAATTGAGGTGTGACACTTAGACTTGAAATGTACTGGACCACTTCTACTGAATTAATTCATAAAACAAAGGAATCAATTAATCATCGTTAATGGTTTCAAACATGAAACGTGAATGCAATTGAAATAAAAAACACAGAACACGATTTGATTTGCGTTGGGGAAAATGAAAAATAAAAAATAATGAAAAACCAGTTCGCTATGGTGATGACGAAGTTCAAATTCTCCAAATGAAATAAAAATATTTCATATTTTGGATTTTTTCGATTTGATAAGCAATAAGAAATGAACCTCTTACAGGCGAATGAGTAATTGCCACTACGCAGATTTCTCCGAATCGACACTAACTCCCTGATTTCTCATTCTTCTCAAAATAAAAAAAATCCGTATTCAGTATTTTTCATCCAATTTTCATTTTCATCATTTTTCTCAATGAAAAAAAATCACGCAAGAGCTCAATCATGTCGAAAACAAGCAGTTCCATGAAAAATACTGACTGTAACTTTTTTCCCTATAACAAGCATTCCTGAGGTTTATCATGTATTCTTCCTCCACAGATATCTCCAATCTACGTAAACTGCCCTGATACTCGCTGTGGAAATTCTCCTTGACGTAGTAGGGCACTTTGAGGTCTTGAGTTGTCCTCTGAACCGAATATTTCCTGGGGAATAAAATAAGCAAACCACACGTGACGTTTTAAATTCCATTTTATTTCCCAAAAAAAATCCAAAATCAGAGTGAATGTTTATTGAGCACTTACGCATTCGAGTGTAAACTATAAAGAGGATCAGAGATGAAGAAACTGCTCATCATAGTGAGAACTATGAGTAAAAGCACTGGTAGCATTTGCAGAAAGGCAGTGTAGCCATTGGCTTGCTCCCTGTGGGCATGCTGTGGCTGATTATCAGGTGTTTGTCTCATCCATCTGCCACCGGTTCGCCTCATGTAGAACTCCTGCTGTGGAAAACCACCCCCGAAGAACATGTTGAACAATTCCTCAGCTGTAAAGTCAGTCTCAAATCCTCGTGAGTAGTTGTGGTGAGTGTGAGTTGATCGTGAATGCGCCGATTGCATTCTGTCCTCGTCTGAACCGTACAGGTCATATTGCTTTCGTTTTTCGGTGTCTGTTAGTACTGCTACAGCATTACCAATTGCTGAAATTCATCACAAGCTGTATAATACTGTTCAATATTAAAAGAATTTCCGACTTACATTGATCAAGGTTTAAATATACTAATCGACATTAAAAAATAGTAAAATAATTCAGTAGTAAACTGGTAAAACGGTTCAAGTCGACTCATCTCCCAGTTGAGTTTTTGAGGAATATTTCGGAATCTAAGGGAGATAGCGACATTTTCGTAATTGCATTTGTTGTAGCTCTCAATCGGCTCTACAAAAAATGTTGTATCAAAAATTTTGCTATCTCCCTTAGATTGCGAGATATTCATTGAAAACGGGTGAATAGGCAAAATTGGCTTGTACCGTTTTACCACTTCGCTACTGAATTGATAATGTGAATTTCCAATTGATGATGGATTAAATACTTGAAAATATGAAACTATAAATTTTCTATTAAGTAGATAATAGCTTATTTTATTCCATTTCCTAGTTTCCTATTTTATTCTATTTTATTTTATTCTCATATTTCTGCCCATTATTTTCTGTAAATTGCAGCATTTCGTGCAAGGAGTGGGAGCCTTGGGAAATAAATAAAACGAGAGCTTCATAAGAATTACAGAAATTCCGAAATTCGAGTTTAAATATTTTGGTGAAATGGTGAAACGTCATGGCTGAATTATCTCGATGGTAAGTCATTTTGTGTTTCGTTCGAGTCGACAGTTTTACGAACATAGAGCTTTTCTACACTGTTGAATCATTCATTGAGATAATTTTATACTTCATTATTTTCAATTACATCAATAAAGGGGTGAAATTCATAATGAATATTATTTTCTTAATTGCAAGTGAATTCACAACGAGAAATTGATAACAATTGGACACGTTCTTGAATTTAAAATTAAGAAACAATGCAGTTTGTTCTGTACTGAATACTCATGCTGCAGCGAAAATTCAAGTAAATTGTGAAGTTTCATAAACTTTAATGTTAAATTACCCACAAAATTACAATTTTTTTTAACCGCGAACAAATAAGTTTTTCTGACAACGACGTGATGTTATGTTCGATGAAGAAGTAAAACTTCATTGTGCAATTATTTAAAAAAAACTGAAACATTGTGCTAATATTCCTGACATACCTTTGAAGGATTCAGCTGCACCAGGGGCTTTATTCTTATCAGGATGAAGCTGCAGGGCCAATTTTTTATACGCCTTCTTGATCTCACTGTCTGTCGCCTCCTTAGTCACCCCCAGTATCTCATAATAATCCTTACACTTCTTTATCCTGCCATCCAGAAATCACGGATCGTGATTATTCAAATACAACCGAACATGCGCCATCCTTATCACTAGAGGTTTATGACTGTCGTCATCTCTTACCGTTTAACATACTCGTACTGTTCCTTGGAGTACTCGGCATTGGCTTGTGGCTGACTATTTTCCTTATTTGTTGTCGTCGTCTGGCGTTTCCTGACTTCAGGCTCGGGATCTGATTTTTTATTCTGCTTTGACAATACCGAGACTCTCGCAAGAATTTCTAGAATTATCGGAGGAGAATAAACACAAAGATAAAAAAATGATGCACAAGAGAAAAATATTGGAGGATGATGAAAAAAAAATTCAAGTAAAACTCTGCCTTCAACTCGTTTAGTTGGATATTTCTATAAATTTTCGTGGAATAATAGAACTGAAATTGCCAGTTTCTATCGGTTTTTCATCAAATAATGAATTTTCATCGACTAAATTCCTTTAAATTCCTTATGACTAGCACAAGTTGCGAGAAAAATATTGGCGAACGAGTAAAAAAATTTTTTAAGTGAACCTCTGCCTTCAACTCCTTTAGTTATTGAACTGAATATAATAAACGGGTGATTGAACTTAACCGGATAATTGAACTGAAATTCACAGTTACCATTGGTTTTTTGATCAAATAATGAATTTTTATCGACTAAATTCCTTTAAATTTCAGGGAAACTATGACGTGGTAAAAATTGAAAAAAAAAGTGCAGAAAACTAACTGAAAAAAGAAAACCTGGCTAATGACATAGCCATTGGCATATGAAAGACCGTTATTCTATTCCCTCTCCAATTCCAATAACTGAAATGGCACTCACGACCGTTATGACTAACATGCATTCAGAGAAAACTATTAGCGCACAAGAGGCTCGTGCAGGTGTAAAACAGTAATTGTACCCCCAATGTAAACAAATTCTGTTCAATTCTGTAAAACTCAAAAATTCTATAAAACCCTACCTTCAACCCTTTTGGTAGGATAAAGTTTCATAGCCTTCCTCACGAATTTCTCCGCCTCCTCGAACCTGCTCTCCCTGATGCACTGTTCAGCCAGATCCAGACACCTGTCTGCCTCATCCTTATTGCTGTCCATGTCCCCCAATTACCCAAGAGAGCTGCAATGAAAAATTGGAACCCCTGACAATTCCCTCAGATCCAAAACCGATCAAGTGCTGACTGAGCAAAATCGCAGGAAAATCCAATTAACCAACTCATTCAATCGTCACTGTCTCTCCATCAAATTGAATTACCTAAGTGATGAATTACGTCACTACGAAATAACGAGAATATTCTCAACAATTTTCCACGCACATCAGCGATTAAAAATTTTCATTGTGGATAATAAAGTACACATCATATTTACCACCTACGATTGTTCACCACGTAGTTGTCACGAGTCTCACCCCTCACAGGGTCCACATTGGTCCGCTAGGTCTCGCATTGGGTCAATTCAATCATCAGGTAAGTATAAATTGTACGTGTAGAACCTCAAGCCCAGTCGTTTTCCAATTAATAATTCATGAGTGTGGGGGGGGTTCACACACATTGACGCCCTATTTTCCACTAGCTCACATGTGACACAGATATTGAGCATAAAAATGGCAGGCTCCCAACGAAATGAAAACAAAACCAAACATCACTCCACTTCAATTTTTGAAGTGAACAAAATGTCCCTAGGCGACACTATGTAACGTCCTGACGTTGATTTTCGTAGATGGCTCTATAAATCGACCATAATAGTCCGCGAGATTCAAATTATTATTCAGAAATAATTTTAAAATACTTTGAGTGCACTATGCTGAGAAAAATCGAGAATAGAAGGGACAATGAACAAAGCGTGATAAAAAAACCGTTGCAGAAAAGTCGTAAACGTCAAGTACTTCAGTTTTAATCCAAATTTATTGCTCTCCAAAATTCGTCACAGAAAGGCTTTTCCTGAAAATTTAAAACTCAGAGAGCAAATAAACTCAACGGTCACGGTCGTAAAATCGTAAAATCTCAGTTCTGGAATATTTCGAAAGTTCTCTGTTTCATGTGGTCCACATGTGTTTGGGCACTCCTTTGTTCATTGTATCGCTATGCTGAGGGCCCGAGAGGGCTCCAGATTGGAAAGTCGCGACGTTGCGTGTTTTCCCTTTTCTCCCTCTTCCGTTTCCCATGTTCTCTTTTGGGTTACTCATCTTTCCTGTCCGCTGGGCCAGGTTTGTGCGCGCAATTTTTGGTCTAGTGGGGGTCTTGAGAGCCAACCCTTAGGGCCGATTTTTTTCTGTACCTTTTGCTCTCAGGGCCCGTTTAATTAACAAACGGTCCATTTGCCCAATCATCCGTTTCGCCAGAGGGCTCCATGTGTTATTTCAATGGACCGTTTGCTAAAGCTCCGTTTGCAAAACGGGCCTTTAGAGGAAAAGGAACATGAACAAACCGGCCCTCAGGGGAGCGATTTTGCTCGTGTTGTGTCGACATAAAATCATAAATTTCAACCAATCCTAGTTGAGTATTCCGAATCCAGGACTGTCATTGGTTGAAATTTACGATTTTATGTCGACATAAAACGAGCAAAAAATCGCTCCCCAGATCTCACATTCAAATTCGGTGCTATTGATTGGATTGGCGCCACTGTCGTCCTAGTAACTTCGTCAGGACGTAACAACCAGTGCTGCCAGAATAATTTCCCTAGATTTTTTCGCCTGGTGGAGCTGGAGAGCTGCCTTGAGGCGGAATTCATCTTTTGTCGAGGAGTTTTGTCGGATTGATGATCAGTTTCTCGGTTTTTATTGGTGGTTGAATGTTATTGAGTGATGAGAGACGAGAGTTCCGAGTTTATTGTTCAATTCCATCGGTTTTTATAAGTTGGGTGTTTGGAGTAGTCCGCTTGCCTGAAGTGAAGAATTCGAGAGCAGTGGTGCATTCAGCCCTTCTCGATGTGCTCCTGTAATTGATTAACATCAGAAAACAATGACATGGATGTGCATTTGAAGGAGGACTATTCTTACCAGATGAAGATGAACAGGGAGATGTTCGAGGGCAAGGACTATCCTACCCAGTGGGCACTCAATCCCTCGATGTATCAGAATATGAGCAATGATGAAGGTAAAAATGCCAGGACACTTCCAACCTCCAATTGTTTGGAAGCTCATGGGGAATGTTTGAGTGAGGCCGGTTGCACCAAGCCCTGTTAGCCGAGTAAATCGTCAGAATAAATTTATGTCGAGTTAATTCATTCCACGGTTGGACAATCTGTGAAATTCGTTGTGGAGGGCTTTCATTCAGCCATTCGGTCGTGCATATTCACTAAATACTTCATAGGTGGTGATATTATTGGCAAATGGTGATGGCACCTCGATACACCACGTTTTTTGGTGAAATACCTTCGATGAACATTCGATTAAAATTGATCGACAGATTATTTTTATTTATTCCGATACTCAACTGAGGATTTTCTTAAGAAGCCTTGGTGCAACCGGCCTGAGTTCTTGCAATGAATTTTTTTTTGAGGAATTAAATTTTTCAATTTTTATTAATATTTCCTTTATAGTTCCTGGAGGATTTTATTTATGAATAAATATGGGAGAAATATCTGAACAATTCAGAATATCAGCTTGAAAGTTTATTGATTCTGCGTTTGAAAATATTTGCTATGAAAATTAATTGATTAGGGATGGGAATGTTATTGAATAACTCAATGAAGAATGTTCCCTCGACTAAATGGAAATAATGGAAACTAATTGGAGAAAAAATCTCAAAGGACTTCTATTTCTCTGCTATAATTTACTTGAATTGCGCATATTCTTCGTATCCTTCTTTGGTGTTTACATCTACTAATTCATCCTGTTCATTCTCAGATAAAATTCTTCATTATTTAGGCTAAGAATTCCCATAAAATTAATCAAAATTTTAGTTATCACATTTTTTTCAATCACTTCTTCTTTCCTCTAAAAAAAACCTCCCTGGAGAACTTTATTCATGAATAAATATGAGAGAAATATTTGAACAATTCAGAGTATCAGCTTGAAAGTTTATTGATTTTGCGTTGTGAAAATATTTGCTATGAAAATTAATTGAGTAGGGATGGGAATGTTGCTTAATAACTCAATGAAGAATGTTCGCCCGACTAAATGGAAATAATGGAAACTAATTGAAGAAAAAATCTCGAAGGACTTCTATTTCTCTACTATAATTTATTTGAATTCTGTATATTCTTCGTATCTTTCTTTGATGTTTACATCTACTAATTCATCCTGTTCATTCTCAGATAAAATTCTTCATTATTTAGACTAGGAATTCCCAGAAAGTTAATCAAACCTTTAGTTGTGACATTCTTTTAAATCATTCCTTCTCTTCTTTAAAAAACCCAATCAACTGTAATTGCCCCGTTCCTGCATTAAGGGGAGACTACTATGAGGTCAAAATTGAAAATTTTGAGATTAATGTAAAAAATTGCGCCATTCATGTCAAATGGGCAGAAAAATTATCCTTAAAATATTAAAAATACATTCTGGATTCTTAAAAAATGAAAAATATTTTTTGGGCTATTTTACATGAATGGTGCAATTTTTTATTAAAAAAAAATTCGTAATTATTATTGCCCACATTTTTTCAAAAAATTTTAAAAATAACCTCCGTAGCTAAAAAATTGGAGGCCCTGGACTATTTTTAACATTTTAAGCGTTTGCGTGGTAAACGAACAATAATCAATTTTTTGCACAAATTATTCATTTTTAAACACCCATAATCGCTCTTCAATGTATGAGAAATCTCATTCCATTAGCCCGCGACTTTAAAAACTCATAATAGTCTCCCCTTAAAAACTCGGAGAGATTTCACCCAGAGAAACCCTGAAGCATTGAAAATTATTGCAGTGGACTGGGCAGCCCTGGCTCAGCAATGGATAAAGATGAAGGAGACAATAGTTCCCCCAGCGCCTCCCCCTCCCTCCCTGAGTAACGAATCATCGAACAATGGTGGTGGTGAGGCCCCCATGGACATGGACACCAAAGAGGACGACGTTCCTCCAGCCCCTCCAGCGCCCAACATAAGTGGGCCTGACAACTGGAACTCGTGGAGTCAGTGGGGCCAGTGGAATGCAGCAGCCCCAGGTGGTGCATGCTGGGAGTGGAGTGGTGTTCCCCCTCCAGGTGTAACCATGGGCCCCGATGGTAAACCCATGGGTCTTCCAAATGTCCCAATTCCCCCGGCCGCCCCTGCACCGCCAATCGCCAATCGTGGCAGTCACAGTGGGCACAATACTCCTTACTCCTACAATTCAGTGGCGCCTGTTCAGCCTGCTTTCAACTCAGGAATTCAGGGATACTGGAGTGGCGACAACCAGAATCCCCCTCCCTTTGTCAAGGGAATGCGGCATGGCCCGAGGGTGCCTCATCTCCGAGGTGATCTGATGAGAAATCGCGAGGAAAAGGAGAAGACTCCTGAGGAGGACACTTCTGCTGTTCTCGATGCGGCTAAACGTCGACAGCTGCCAGCCTGGATTCGCGAGGGACTCGAGAAGATGGAGAGGGAGAAGCACAAAGCTGTGGAGAGGGAGAGACAGGAGATGCTGAGGAAGCAGGAACTGGAGGCGAGGAAAATCGCCGAGGACGAGGCGAGAGCTGTTCTCAATCCCAGCAAGAGCAAATTTGTAATTTCATTCATCTTTGTGGATGTTTATCCAAAATCAAGTCGAGAAATTTTCACGTTTTTTTTTCAAGGGGTAGGGTGATCAGGCCAATCGCTGGACGGTTAAGGGAAATTCGAGTTTTGTGGTAGGACTTAAAACAAAAGCATCACCTAAATGGGGATGTGATGGTTCCATACCTTCAAGAACGTTTTAATTAGCAGAAAAAAATTATTTGAAGTGAAAATAACAAAACAAAGAATAATTAAATTAAGAAATAGTTGAATGCAGCAGACACCCTTAATTTCTGGACGACTGGGCCGTATTTTTTTTTATTTATTAAATGTCGATCAATGGAAACAATCATTAATCACATGATTGTATACGAGTAATATTGATTGAAAGGTGAAATTATCAGTACAATTTTCATTTTATTTATGAAATCTTCAATGCAAGTTTAAATCGTCCAGAAACTAACCCCTCAAGGTTTGTAATATTTTTCAAACCCAAAGCACATTCATCTTCATCATCGACTCGTGGAAATTAATGTGCTTTGATTTGCATTCTGGTACCCTTTAATGCCAGAAGCTTTTCGTGCCTTTAATGAGAGTCAAATCAACGCATTAAGGAAACAAACTAATGTTGGTTTCACGTGTTGTGTTCCAAGTCTAAAAAAATACTAAATTTCTCTCGAACTTGAATAAATTCATTTGTACAGGGATGGACAAACATCATTATACTTCGAGGGATTTCCTTTTCTTTTTTAAATCATGATGAGTGATTCTGTATTGTGTAGGACTCTGATTCAGACAAAGAGGTGGAGCCAGAAGCTGATAATCCCAGCCAAGAGGAGGATCATAATAATTTTGATGCCAGTCCGGATATTGTCCTGAAGCCGAGGAGGTCGAGGTTCAGGGATGCTGGCTCACCAGAGGCCAGAGTTACGGTCAATAAGGAGAGCAGTCCTGCACCCTCAGCTGTTCCAAATTCTGTCAAGAGGTCTCGAGAGGAAATCCTTCAAGATGTCGTGAGTTATGATTTTTTGATTCGTTTTTTAATGAAATTTTTTTCAGAAAATTTGTAACAATTTTAGCAATTTAATTCAATTTACGATTTTCTCCTTCCATCTTCATAATTAGAGACTTTGATTCACAGAATTACAGAATTTCATTAATTATTTTGAAATCCAACACAACTAGGAAAATTTTGCTTTAAAAATTTTTCTGTCCTCACGAAAAATGATCTATTTTCTTCAAATTTGAAGATATCTACCAAACTTTAATAAACTAAATTGATTCATTTAAAATCCTCTACACTATTCAGGCAACTATTGTTCTGTACTTTCAATTTAATGGAAATTTAATCAAGTGGCTCTTCCAACTTTCACAATGTCCTTGAGATTTGAAGCTGTTATTGAAATATCAATGATTTCTCAACATGAAAAACTCAATTAAAATCAGTCTCAAATCCACTTAAAATTGAGAAAACTGAAAATTCAAAATCTAACCCTGTATTTCCAATTGAATTTTATACAGATGCTGAAGGTGAGGCGTTCATTAACAGAAATATTATTGGAGGTAACAAACGAGGAAATATCGAACGTGTGCAGAGAAGTATGGAATCGCTCTCGTGCCAAAGGTACCACTGATAATCACCAACCAAATCTAACTAATAACTGTGTAAACCGAGAGAGCAAATTTTTCCAAATATTTGATCTAATGACTAGCTTGAGTATGGATTTTTCTCATCAGCGTCGATGTGTTGGACCAACCGGCGCCATTGTACATAATACCACAATGTGTACATTAAACGAGCGGTTATCTCCCACCCCTCAAGTTATCCCACTTATTTTTATTCATAGTAATTATTTTCAGGATTTGTGATAAAACGAGCGGCCAAGGTGACAGTCACTCCTCCATTATTCACATTGTTTCGCCATCCAATGGTTATTATAGTCATTCCCCAGTTGATTTACAGTTTTTGCATATGCCTGTCTCTCCTCTCATTTCAGTATATCCCCAATTTTTAATTCATTAAATTGTTGACATGCGAATCAATGCCACTGTTCAATTGGCAAACTCTCTGCTTGATATTTATTAATAATGTATTGTAAGTAAACTTGATGAAGGAATCAGGGAGCCGTATTTCGGGGTATTTTAAGGAGAAGATTATCTCGAGTGGAGCGAAAGAACCTTTGAATAAAAGCGAATAAACATGTTTGATATGAGAAAGACAAGGGAGTCAGTGAATAATCCGCCACTAAATTCGTGTGTATTACAAAGCCCCTGCAGGAGGCACCCCCATCGCATCCTTGACCAACACGGCCCCTCTTGCTCAGATCACTCGAAAACTCGGTGAGTAAATGAATTCGTACTTTTAATGTGAGTATCACAAAAAAATTGTAGAAGGTTTGTAGTCATTGAGCATCGTAGGTACGGTGGATGGAAGTGGGCAGTGTGGGTTACCACATGTCTCTCTTCTGCCATCCCTACGTCATTGCGACGAGAATAATGTGATTTTCGAGTTTATTGATGGAGTTGAGTCAGGGGAGATTTAGTCGCGGGTGGAAATTTATTTGATTTTTGTATATCCAGGTCTGGGCATCTATGGCGACAGCAACAGCGAGTCTGAGGAGGAGCAGGAGACGTGCCAGGCTGAGGAGAACGACAGTGACAGTGAGCTCAAGGTGAGGACCGCTACAATTCAGCAGCGGAGTGATGAAACGATTCAAGTCGACTTGGCTCTCAGCTGAATTCTCGAGGAATATCTCCGAATCTAAGGGAGTTACCGGAATTTTTGTGATAAACTTTTTTGTACCTCTCAATTCATTCTATAACAAAGGTCATGACAAAAATTTTGCTATCTGTCTTAGATTCCGAGGTATTTACCGAAAGCTGAGCGATAGTCAAAATAGACTTGAACATGTATGATTGGAAATATTTAAATTTCTTTGAGGGGTCACTCCCTCTAAAACTCTTGAATCTGTAGTGGCTGAATGGGCCTAGTAACTGACACTGCCCCACATATATGTGTACACTTCTCAACCGCTCAAACAACCTTTTTTAGAAGTTATTGAAAACGACGAAGAAAGAGAAAATCGAAAAAAATCCATTTTCTTATGGTCTACTGGAAATTTTATAAAATAGATACCCAATTTTATTCTCTGGAGTTCAACAAATGTTTTTAAAAAGTCTAAATCGAATGAAAATTGTAGTCCATGGATGATTTCTTAGGTAAAAACTCGAAAAATTAGGCTTCACCATGAAAGATATGACAAAATAGGTTCAATTCCAGATGTTTCTTATTTATCTGGATTTTTTATCATACATCAATGGTCGCTCGATGCATCCATTGAGCAACAACACTAAAATTTTTAATTTTTTTATTTTTTCCAACTGATATGCATTTTCATCTGCTTCATATTGATGAGGATTTCAATCCACCAAACCGAGTTGATTATTCATAAATAAAATGCACAGAAAAAAAATCTCTTCTAAAGTAAATCTGGTTTGCATCGACAAAAATCACAAGTTTAAAATTACCAAGAATGAAAATTCCTCGTCTGAGTATTGGAAGAGTGTTTTGAGATGAACAATTTTCGTTTTAATAAATAAAATGAATTTATTTATTCCAAAGTATGGACATCCTCAAAGTTGAAAATTGTATCCCCTCAATGATAGATTATTTTCAATCATCAATTAGGAAACATTGAGAAGACGTCAAGCAGCCTTCAAGAAGACAGAAGAAGAAATCGAGGCTCGCATCCTCGAGGAAGAGGAGAACGAGCAGCAGGAAGATGAGGACTCACGTAAATACGAAAATCACACGAACGACACACCTATCGAAGAAGGTAAGACCTCTCAAACACATAAAAACGATTACACTGTTAGAAATTTTTTCAAATTTCATGGAAGATATAGTAAATCTCATGAGAGTGACATTGAATCGAATTTAGGGAAAAAAATGGTTATGAAATTTCAAATTTTAACTAGAATTCACGGAAATTCATGAGTTTTCAGTGGAAGTGAGATGGAAATTTCACAACTTGAATGAATTTTTAGTGGAACATGAATATTCAGAAACAAAATTACATGAATTTTTACTTTTTCCTTAAATTTTCCTGAATTTTCTGAATTTTCAGAATAATTGAACTGAAAAATCAAGTAGTTCATTGATTTCCAGATCATTTGAACAGAAAACCAATGGAATATTTGATTTTTCAATGCCAAGATTTCCAAAAATTTCAGTGGAACTTGAAAATTCCTGAAATTTCAGTGGAACTTGGAAAATTCAGACGAAAATTTTGAATAATGTAGAAAAGATCAACCCCTGTTTTCTGTATGCACCCCTTCATGCCCCGTTTAACCGCCTACTGCGCTACACCTCCACAGCTGAAGAGAACGAGGCCCAGAACTCGAGAGAATCATCCCCAAGTTCATCAAGCAGTGGCCAAACGCCAAAGCACCTGCAGTCAGCGGACGCCCGTGACAACCACAAGTCCAGGAGCCCCAGCTCTCCCTCGCGTTCCCCAGAGTCCACCAGCAGCAGCACCTCCCCCAGCTCGTCCTCAAGCTCGTCCGCCTCCTCGGACTCCAGCAGAGACGTGAAAAAGCGTCGCAAGAGAAAATCTAAATCGCGGAGTCCATCGCGAGGTCGAAAGTCCCGATCTCGCAGTCGTTCTCGTGACAAGAGGCGCAAAGACTACAGATCTAGGTCCTCCAGCAGGAAATCCACCGTGAAACTGCCACGCGAGAGAAAACGAAGGAGTCGAGACGACAGATCACGATCGAGGTCTCGCAGACGCTCGCGTTCCTATTCCAGAAGGCGCAGCAGGGAAAGAAGGTTCTCGAGATCACGTTCAAGAACGAGAAAACATTATGGACACTCGTCGAAACGTCGGAGCAGAACAAAATCAAAGGAGCGAAGGAGATCGAGGTCGAAGTCCAGGGGTCATCGTGATGGTAAGAAGTCATCGCGACGATACAGGGATTGATTCGGCTCAGAACCAACATAACAAAAGGTTGTATGATTCATTCCAATCTGTTATTTCTATTGCTTTGTCCCTTAGATGGAGGAAACGACGATGAATTATGATTATTAATTAATTGCGCATGGTCATTAGTACTTGATGCACTCGATTTAACGATCGATTCATCAGATGTACTTTCCCCTCTCCTGGGACCATGATCTTGAGGGTATTTCATTCTGTTTCAGGCTTCCGGTCTCTGGATTCAACAGCTTCAATGGTATAATAACGGTTATTTACGAATTTGAGTGGTAACTATGATAAGGACAGAGGATGTGAGTGAATGTTGTCCCTCTGAATGTGATCTTATTTCTTCTCTTGTTTTTTCTTTCCTCTTCCTTTTTTACTTATGATAGATGAAATCCGTTTGCGTGAGTCAGAGACTGAATGAACCAATGAGTCGTTTAACATTAATGAGCAACTAATGTATATAATGCCGTCTTATTGAAATATATTCAGTCTTCATTTTGACTTTACAAAGGAAATACTTTGAACATTCTCTGGATTTATTTCAATCGTTTTGTGTCATTGATCTGTTTTTACATTATTGATAGTGGGAGTTGATTTTTTTTACAAAATATCTTGGGGTTTTGGTTTACATCGTGGATGAATCGAAAGATAATGGAATGCACGATATAATTCATGGAGGGTAGTGGTGAAACTCCTAGGATTGTTTGCAAAAATCATCCTCAGGGGAAATTGACTGTTTTATACTGTTTCGCCACTTCGCTAGTTGGTGGATCCTGGACAAATAGGGTTTTTAGAATAAAATTGTAGATGAACGTATGTCGAATCTTCAATGCAGGAGAATTAAATTGGAATTTACGAATAAATTAGAAAGATTTAATTTTAATTAAAAATTCTATTGAGGGCGTTCCATTCAGCGGGTGAAATAACTTGAATGGAGAGTTGATTTATCATTTTTTCGGTGGACGTTATCCTCATGAGAGAAAAATAAATTGAAAAATTTCATAAGAAAAAACTGGATAATATACTGAACAACGTTAAATTAACGCTTATCATTTTTTTTGTCAATTTACGTGATTTATTGTTTTCAATGCAGTTAAAAATCGTGGAATTTCTCTCTTTGAATTGAAGATTTGAGTTACGTTCTCTTAGAATTCCCTTTGGAGATACATTTCTCACCCTATGACACTTGAAATTATTTTTGCTTTTGCTCATTAATTCACCAAGTGTACACCATAAATAAATGATTGATTCCTTAAATACTTATTATTTACATTGACATAAGCCGTCAACCATTTGGTATTCAGCATTAGTTTCAATTACATGCCCATTCGTTGGTTACCAGCATTGTTTCTCCGTTAATTTATCGGTGGTGGCCTCATTGAGGCAGTAAATCATGTGCAGAGGCTGCAGTTGCAGTAATAATTCCAATAATACTTCAATACTAGATGGATTATTTACCATATCGTTGCACACAATTACCATGCTTCACGAGTATATCCATGAAATCCTGGTGGGACACGTCGTGATGGGTTGATAAGTGACTGCAACGATAATAACATCGTTATCATTTCGAATTGACGAGTCATTTTTTTTTCATGCGGAAAAAAGAGGGATTGGTTGAGGGAAACTCACATAAATTCAGTTATGCGTATGTGCCATGGAAGCACTCCGAATGTGGAAAATGTCTTGCCGCAGATTATTACGAGATCGGGATCAGGGAAATTGAAACGTAATTTTTCATCCATCAGGTTTATGTCAATTTCGCTGGGTTTTAGGAGTCCTTGGGTCACTGCGTGGGAGAGATCCTTGGTCAACTCGATTATCTCGTGTTTACCATTTTCGTATGATAGAAAGTGGATCTTTGTGGTTGTGAAACCTGAAAGAAGAAATAAATTCATTAGTATTGTACACTGAGAGAAAAACGAACAATTCTTAAACAAGATGAAGCTCAAGGCATATTTGAATAAAAAAAATGCAAGTTAAAAATTACTGTAAAAGGAATTATTTGATTTGAATTGAAAAGTCTCGAACATGAACAATCGTTCTGCTTTCAATAACAACTAAATATTTGGCTCAAGAGGCGGATCATTTACAGGAGACTGTGCCTTTCCACTATGGAAATATCTCGTATGGAGGGAAATTTATCAAGAAGTATTCTCTTTTCGACTACAAATTTCGATAAAAAGTAGAAAAAACTTTTAAAATTTTGAGGCAATTTTTTATATACAAAATTAGCGGATTCGCTCATTTGTTTTTTGCGCCAATTCTATTCAAAATCATGCAATTCACTAGATTTTTATTTACGATCCCTGAATTATGGAACTCTAGAGTTGACAAAACTTCAGGATGACTTTTTGATTCTACCAAAGATAGAAAAATAGTCTTTTAGTTAAATGAATAAATACTTGGCTTTCGTTGTATTGTTAGAAATAAAAAGGATCCTTTACTTGGTTGTAACTGATATCTATTAGAGCAGCATAAATATGAAGAGGTAGCAAAAGTGCAATCGTTGAGTATACGAATACACACGCAATTTGCTGAACTGAATAGAACGAGGACAACTGTGGATTCACCTCGTAACTGAGATATTGAGGAACTTTTTCGTTTATCGTTCGGAGTCAATGCTGGAGTTCTATTAAATTGTAAAAAATCCTCTCTGAGTGGTTTGCAGACACTTGAATCGTGTTTAATTATTTAAAAAAATAGAAGTTTCTTCAGTTCGTTTCAAGTCGTGTTTATAAGGAAAAAATGAACCTGAAGAGATAACAAAATTATAATTGCGGATTATTAACTCGACTGCCTGAACTGAACTAAACTAAACTATGGAAACGCTGCTATCACCGTTCCATTTAAAAAAATAAAATTTTCTGTTGCTCGTTTTAACTCTTGTTTATTCGGATGGAATAGATATGAAGAGGGAATATAAGTTTAATTGCTGAGTATGCAATTGATTGTCTGAACTCAACTAAAGTATGATCAATCACCCATTGCCAAAAACTGGATCATTACCATTGATTCCATTTGCTGCATGAGCCTTTGGTGTGATTTTTTCAACCTCCCAAGTAACTCTGGACCCGAGATTAGGCCTTAGGGTTTCAAAATCCCTCCTCAATTTACTTGAATTCCTTTTGATAACACCTGAAATGCCAAAAAGTTGATATTGATGGAAGAATTCTACTAAAAGGTGATTTTCAATGGAAATTCGGCAAAGATTGCCAGATGCCGAACATCTTCGACTATTTGTAATTTTTTTATAATTTTGTAGAGTTAACTGTAGAATTGATATTTTCCTGATGTTGAAAAATAGGAAAGAGTGAAGTAAAGTGAATAGTTTTCACTTTTAAAGCAGAATTTTCCCCACAAATAGTGAATTTATGGGTTTTTATAAACATAAATGATATTCTATTAGAGATTAATGCGCAACCATCAATTTGATTTGAAATTTATTTCAAATTAACACCATTCAGGATTCAAAATTTTATGGAAAAATCACTAGAAACTTCAAATTTTATTCAAATATTTATTCAATTATTCCATGAGTTTCAATCGAAATCAGGAAAAATAAGGTATTATTAAATATCTTCTGGAATTTATGATTAATTGAAAATTCAGCGGAATTTAGTACTGCAAATTTATGTTTTGCTTTGAAGTTTCAATAATTTGCAACTTCATTAATTTTCTGTAAAATCTAGAATTTTATCATTTCTTCCTCCCTAAATCGCATTCAATATCACTTTCCTATAAATTACTAGTTGACTGCCTATGAAATTACAATTCCTTTCTAACAGAGAGAAATATTCTTGGCTGAAATTTCATAGTTCTACTATAATTTCACATTATAGTTCCTCTGAAATGACAAGGAATTTCGTCATTGAAGATTCAAAATTTTACTGCAAAATCAATGCAAGTTGTCACTTTCAGTTCAATTAATCCATACAAATCAATAGAAATCACAAAAATTGGGGTAAATACATTAATAAATTTTCAATTAGTTGGAATTCGCGTAATTTAGTACAGCAAATTTATGTTTTGCTTTAAAGTTTCAATAATTTGCAACTTCATTGAATTTTCAGTAAAATCTAGAATTTCATCATTTCTTTCTCCCTAAAGCGCATTCAATATCACTTTCCTATAATTTACTAGTCAACTGCCTATGAAATTACAATTCCTTTCTAACAGCGAGAAATATTCTTTATGCTAAAATTTCATCGTTCTACTATAATTTCACATTATAGTTCCTCTGAAATGACAATGAATTTCGCCACTGGAGATTCAAAATTTTACTGCAAAATCAATGCAAGTTGTAATTTTCAGTTCAATTAATCCATGATAATCAATAGAAACCAGGAAAATTGGGGTAAATACATTAATAAATTCTCAATTAGTTGGAATTCCGCGTAATTTAGTACAGCAAATTTATGTTTTGCTTTAATTGGGCTAAATACATCAATAAATTTTCAATTAATTGGAATTCGCGTAATTTAGCACTGCAAATATATGTTTTGCTTTAAAGTTCTCGTGAATTGGTGAAATTTAATTTTTTTCAGTAATGTTATTGTTGTTTTTCGAGACATCTTACCATCCTGATCATAAAAACTGACATGTGGTATTTCCAATGTAACCGTCCAACTAATAATCTTAGCGAGATCAACGAAGGATATGTCCTCGTAGCCGACAACAACCACCAAGTGTCCAGGTAATTTTTTAATCCTACCCACGTTCCACTCCCCTGAAACATCACTCCCCGATGCAATTCGACTGAATCGTTTTCTAAATTGTCGTTTCACTAAGGCCCATTGGGCAGAGATAACGAGGTAAATGCTGTAGACGAAGTGGACGATAGCCAGGATGTAGTGAGGCAGGGACATTTTTCCACGTGAATTGGCCAAATTTTTTTCGGCATAATCGTCTCCCTGCGTGACAACAGTGGGACCCTTGGCCCTCAGCTTTTTCACACAATTGTTGGTACAGATTTCGACAACACAACCGGCTTTGGGAGTCTGTATCACGAGGCTGATGTCATCGCGTTCGTTAACTAATGTTCACTGGGCGGCATGTGGCAAGTGGCACAGTCAGCTGCCGTGTGAGTTCCACACGTCACCACGGTTAAAGGGCAAGTGCAGGTTTCGTATTTGACCGCTGGGAGATCGTTGCTAATGTCGGAAGCTGTTTCACTGAATGCTGGTATAATATCGCTCGTCGAGGTTGTTGCTGTGATAATTGTATCGTCATGCAGCGCGGGAAGACAATGAATGCATTTGAATAAAATAGGGGTGGGTGGGGTAAAATGGACACTTTTTGCTTTTTTAAAAATATTTCCAAGTCAGAAACAGATTTATCAATTGAGTTCAGTCTAAAGTCGTCACGAAGGGGAAGAATTGTCCTTTCAATTGAAAAATAAAATTATTTTATTTCATGAACAATTCAACACGTCATGAACATTTTTTAAAAAGTCAAAAGTGTCCATTTTACCCCACCCTCCCCTATAGTATTTAAGAGGCAATCTTACGATCCGAGCTAAAATTGGATTCCAAGTTTTTTCGTCGTCAGATGACGATTAAGCAAAACCAAAATTTTTACATTATCAATAATCTCGGTATCTCACGCACGAAAAAATTTAATAGAAAAATCTATCGAATTCGTTAGAAAATTCTATTGAATTTCTATTAAACTTTCTATTCGTTTTTGGCTGATTCTATTAACATGTTCAATAGACAACATTCAATAGAAAAAGGCAACAGAATTCGATTTTTAACTTATTCTTTTCATATATTTTCTACAGAATTTGCTCGACTCAAATTTTCTAATTTTTTTTTCATTCTATTATTCTTTTCTTCTCGTCAAGGAAATCAAACGAAAAAACTTGAAAAAACTTGAAAAAACTTGATAAAACTTGAAAAAACTTCTCGTCAAGGAAATCAAACGAAAAATTTGAGCCGAGGAAATTCTGTAGAAAATATCTCAATAGAGTAAGTTATATAGAAAAATTGAATTCTATTGTCTTTTTCTACAGAATATTTTCTATTGAACATTTCGATGGAATCGGCCAAAAACTAATAGAACAGTTCAATAGAAATTCAATAGAATTTTCTAACGAATTCGATAAGTTTTTCTATTAAATTTTTTCGTCTATCCTATAGTATAAGAATTTGGGTTTTTCTGAGTAGTCGCCTGACGACGAAAAAACTTGGAATCCAATTTTTACTCCGATGGTAAGTTCCATTGTCTCTTAAGCTGTTTCGTGTCAAAAGTCAAGTCATAATGAAAAAAAAAATGCAAAATTCATGGGAGAAATATCTGAGTATGCTGCATCATTGAGAATTTTTGCACATTTTTGCTTCCGAATGGAAGCATTGCAATCCTTCGATTTTCACACTCTCTAATTTTGATTGGAAATGATGTAGAATAGTCCGAAACGTAAAAATACGAAGTTTGGGGACCATCTCTGTATGTGACCACGTCCACCGCCCTTCCCGGTGGTCAATTTTTAGAAAATTGAGTAATTAAGTGGCTAAAGTAATTTTAAAAAATATGAAATTCTGTCAGTTTATAGATCTTAATGAGGACTAATTCTGTGCAAAATTTCAGCTCGATCGATCTAATAGTTTTTAAGAAAAAGCGATTCGTTTTTAAATCGTCTTCCGCAAATATCTTCAAAACTAGAGGACCGATTTCGATTTTTTGTTTTCAAAATATTCGTTTCGATGCCTTCCATCTAAATCAATCAAAACATATATACCCGTTCATACAAGGTTTTCAAGATATTCCCGTTTTTCCGTTTTTTCATAACAAACTTTGTAAACCCTCTAGCTTGTGCAAAAATTGAGATATCAACTTGAAATTTGCAGAGAATCTTTCTCTAATGATCACAATATTTCGTATTGAAGATGGGTTCAATCTCCTCAGTTGTTTCGGAGATATTCGACTTTTTATCGAATTTTGGAGCATTTTAAATTTATTTTTCCCTGTTACACTCAATGATTCAACATATTTCTGGAGTCTATTCATACTAATTTAGCTCTTAGCGATTCCGGAGGGATTCAATATAAGTGTGAGTGCTTCGTGAAGTTGGATTCTCCACTGGGAGATTGACGATCCTACTCCAGATTATCGACGCCAGCAAACCCATTGCACGGGCCATACAGAGGATAGTTTGATTGTATTCCATGTCGTACAGCCCGTGAGACTGAAATGCATAAAACTTGTTAATTGAATAAAATAGTGAATAAATAAAATGATGAATGTCGGCATTACGGCGTGAAAATACTTCGTATACGGCTATTCTGGCGTGACTTATTATTTTTTGGCTAGTGACCGGTATGAAAAAATACGTCTTTAAATATTTTTCCTGCAATTCTTCAGTCATAAACAAAAACTATGCAAAACCCTAATTATCTCGTACGAGCAAATTCCGTAGAAAAACTTAATGAATTTTCTATTAGTTTTCGGCTGATTGCGTTGAAAGATTCCGCAGCTCATCTGCCCATTTCTTTCAATAGAAATGTCCAATGGAAGAATATTGTTTGGAAAAAATTGAATAGAATTCTAATTAATTTCAATTATTACTTTATTATAATTAATTAATATTAGTTATTGGAATACAACTCATTTTATTGGGATATTTTCTGTAGAAATTTCTCGGTTTAAATTTCCCGAGTTTTTTTGCTTCATTTTTTCTATGAAAAGAGATCAAAAATAGAGTGGAGAACACTTCTATCGCAAATTTATGTCGAGGAATTCCTATAAAAAATGTCTCAATAAAAAAAAGTTGTATAGAAAGGTGAAATGTTACTGATTTTTTCTACAAAGTAAATTCTATTGGACGATTTCTATTGAAAAACGCGCAGTAAAGTCGCGGCGTTCTTCCATAGAATCGGCCAGACTAATAAACGTTCAATAGAAATTCCATACAATTTTCTATCGAATTCACTGGGTTTTTCCGTGGAACGCTTCCGTGCGTGATTTCGCCATTTCGGAATTCGTTTGAATGGAAGTTTAGATTTTTGAGAGAACCTTGAATAGGGGAGCCGCCAGGGAATTCATCTCAGGCATCAGTCGCGGAGTTCCAGCAGGCGATACGGATCGCACGACGTTTGAAATGTCAATTGACAGCTGAAAGTCGAATTTTTCCGTGAAGAAATATTATCAATTTGCTGTAACAATGGAGTTATTTACTTTTACATCCGGGTGTAATGATGAAATGTCGATCTTATTCGCGAATTCCTGGAGGATGAGGAACCTGGAATCGCAGTAATCTGATATCCGGTAGCCCGGAAAACCCGAGGGATTTTTTATGAAAGCACTGACTATTCCGCGTAGGATGTCTTCCTTTCGATGGGCTCCTAACAGACGTTGGACTTTCTCTTGAAAATTCATGCACTGAGGGGCCGAAGGCGAAGTGAAGATCATAAATTCGTTAGCGAAGTGACGACTCGTAATAAGATAAATTTGACAATTGGGCAGCCAGTGATTTTAGAATAAATGTAAATGTATTATGTTATCGAGCGTTGCAAAATCAATGATAAGGAATTGATTGGCCTTGCGGTCATTGGAAGACGTTAAATTAATGACGGATGATGTGCACTTTTGGCGACGCTTCGACCTCAGACTTCGAGGTCCTCATCGGGATAAAAATCCATTATCTTTAGTTCTCTGCAATGCGATAAGTGCCTTTTTTATCCAATAAATATCCGATGAAAACATTTATAAATTTCGTCAAGTGCGCATTATCTGTCATTAATTTGATGTCTGCTGAGTGACCGCAATGCCAATTAATTCCTTATCATTGATTTTAGAATGAAATGGACTATAACATTGTTGTTTTTAAATGAATAATAAAATTATTCATGGTTCATGTATTGTTTATTTCACATTCCAACAACTTCTCTATCCAATTAAATGCGTAAAAATCGTGTCTATAGAAGTTTCTAGGTATAAATTTTATACATTTTCTTCTCTTGTATTTTTTCGTGTTTCGTATAATCCCGAGTTTTTTTTAAAAAACTTCGCCACATGTTTGGCCATTTTACTAACGTGTTCTGCATTTCCATACCTGAGAGAGAGTTCCAGTCGTTGGTTCATTAACAAGGGCTAAAAAGGCGGCAGCAAGAGCTTTCCTCGGACTATACTGACACGAGCCCATTATCTGACTAATGTGACTACTCGGCACCCCACCGTCCTCATCCCTAGGAATCAATCCCAAAATAATATCACAGCATCCAAATAATAGAATACATTAATAGATTTTATTAATTCATAATTTATAGTGTGCTTAGTGGTCCACCTTACGGCGTTTCAATTTTTTTCTTGTTGAAATATACATTTAGAGGGTAAATGCTAGAAAATTCTAGAATATTCTGGAACATTATCGCAACACTTAGAGAGTGCATCAATGATGAGATCAAATCAAGTTTTTGTGATGCAAGTTTGTATGAATTTTTGTCAATTTTTTGGGAGTTTCAGAATGGTTTGGGATACACTGTTAGAAAAAAATGAAATTTCATGGACAGTTGACTAGTAATTTTCAGGAAAGTGGCACTGAATGCGATTTAGGGGGAAAGAAATCATGACATTTCAGGTTTCACTGAGAATTCAGTACAATTCCATAATTTTAAGCGACATAAAGACGAGAATCCCTCAATTTATTTGAATTTTCAATCTAATATGAATATTCACGCGTATGACAAAATCGTATAGAAATTCTTTATACGGATTGCATATAGAATTTCTATAGGATTTGCGTATATGATATTCGGATATTTATATACGATGTCCATAGATTTGATCCTATACGACCCACTGCCACATGTATAGAAACATTTCGTATGGAGTTGTGACATTTCTCTACGTTTTTCTCTGGAGCGTTTAGACATCTTTCGTATGAAAAGAAAAATTTATGTTAAAATTTATGTATAGAAATAGTTCGTATAGAAAATATTCGTATAGAAATATCCGAATATCATATACGGAAATCCTATAGAATTTCGATACGTAATCCGTAGAGAAAATTTCTCGGTTTACGATTTTTTAATACGTGCAACGCCAAATGACTTTGAATTTTCAGTGAAATCTAAAATTTCATGATTTTGTGCCCTAAATCGCATTTAGTGTCTCTGTCCTGAAAATTCAAGAATATGTTTACCGGAATTTTCTGGCTTTCTATTCATTTTCAGGGAAAAATGGTACTGAAATCAGTTCTCTTTGATTTTCCATAAAATTCTAAATTTTTAATTACGAAATTCCTTGAAACTTCAGTAGTAATTAAATTCGATAAAAATTTCCGAAAAGTGTATCGGAAATTTCAGACAAAAATTTTTAACAGTGTATGCTGGAAAGAATGATCAAAGCTTGAGGAAATGAAGAGCTTTCTGTACAGCTCTGGATCGTTCTACAATTTTTTAGAACTTCCAATAGTTTTGACGAAGAACGAATAATGAACATTTCAAATTTATGTAAAATATGACTAAACCAAAATTACGCATTGAGGGATATAATGAGCCTCAGGAGGTCCCCTGTTGATGACTTTTGGACCGTGCAATTCTCCCCGGAGACTCTCAAAGAACCCAATAGAGAATCGACCCAATCTCCGCCATCAGTCGTGTTTTTGACGTTCTCAGGATTTTTCACAAGTGCTAGGATTGTCGGAAAAATCGCTAGTAGGTCCATACTGTCCTCATAACTAGACTGTAATATGTTACTTGAACGATAGAATAAGAAAGTGGAAGAAAAAAATTGCAAATGGCAAGTGAAAATAAAATTTTGCCGATTCAATCGTGCGGACAAAAAAGTTGAGGAAGAATTACGGAAAATTCCAAGTAATCGTCGAGTGAAATTCCGTTCTAGATTTTTCTTTAAATGGGAGTCTAAAATGACTGAAAAATCCATGACATAATAATATTTGAATAAAATGAATTTTTTTCCAATAAAATTTTTCAGGGAATTTGCTAGGTTTTTCAATGAGATTTTTTCGTATCTGAAAATTTCGAGCAAAATATTTTTTCCTAAATTATATTCGCTCCCCGATTACGTTAGAAACAGTGAAATTTCGGTGACTTTCTAGATGATTTTTCCTCAAATTATCTCTCAATGTAATCAATGTCATAAATGACCTCCCAATGTGTACAGCTCATGGCGGAGCCTCTGAGTGGACTTCTAAACCTCTTCTCCCCAGAATCGAATGCAGCTAGAATAACAGAGAGCCTCGTTGTTGGTCCCACATGTTTAGGAAGAGATTGCAGAAAATTCTGGGGTTCATTGAAGAAAAACCTCTGCCTTTCCCTCCTATTCGTCCAGTCAGACACTAGAGAAGCCGTCTGAACTTCCGTTGGTACGTCCCCGGTCAATAAAAGCCAGAAGACAGACTCCGGACTGGGATAATTCCCATGCAGGGGAAGAAGCTTAAAGTATTATGAAAGAAAAAAAATTAATTTGAAATTCCCAGAAAATAATCATTCATGATCGATAATTTTTTATGGGAATTCTAGTTTTGATGAATGTAAGAAAGTAATCCATCAAATTATTACGTAAATCATTTGTTTGAACAATCAAACATGAATTATTTATTACAAAAAATTTACACTGACAATAATTTTTATGGTAGATTTTTTTCTGATTTTTCAACATTTTTTCCAGACTTATCCTTTTCGTATCGTTGAAATGTTAATTTGTATTATTTCATCACAAAATGAATGTATTATTCTATCATTTCTAAATTAATTATTAAAAATAATACTACACTGAGAAAAAAAAATCTGATATCTGAAACACATTTACTTGAGACAAGTAATTTTGTTCATTGAAAGGTCATGAGAAAGGTTTCATATTTTAAAATATTCTTCAACTCACGTATGGTTTTGTCGCAAATGTTAATCCTCAAGTATTTATTGTTTTCATGATTTTTTATGCACTTCCAATGTTTCGATATGCACTGTTAGGAAAAATATGAAATTTCATGGACAGTCGGCTTATAATTTTGAGGACAGTGTCACTGAATCAGTAGCGAAGCGGTAAAACGGTTCAAGTCGACTTAGCCCTTAGTTGAGTTTTCGAGAAATATCTCCGAATCTGAGGGAGGTGACGAAATTTTCATAATGACCTTTTTTGTAGAGCAAATTGAGGGCTATAAGAAAGGTTGTAACAAAAATTTTGCTATCTACCTTAGATTTCGAGATATTCATTGAAAACTGGCCAATAGTTAAAATCGATTTAAACCGTTTTACCGCTTCGCTACTGGAATGGAATTTAAGGGAAAAAAATCGAGAGAAATCGACGACAATTCTTCAATTTACTTAAACTTTCAATGAAAACATCAATATTCAGTGTTAAATTATCCTGAAGTTTCAAATAATTGCAAATTCAAGAGTATGTATACCGAAATTTTCCAGTTTTCTATTCATTTTCAGGGACTAATTGAACTAAAGTTTACAGTTCTCAATTGTTTTCCCCCGAATTTGGGAATTTTCAATGATGAAATTTCTTGAAATTTCAATACAATTTAAATGTGATTAATTTCCGAAAAGAGCATTGGAAATTCAGCCTAAATTTTTTTAACAGTGTGTAATATATTCTATAAGTAAATGAGAATTCATTCGAGTTTCGGGAAGCGCAAATATTCTGAGATTAAGTCAGTGAAAATAATTTACTTCTCTCAAGTAAATATGGTCTATCTACATATTAGGACGTTTTCATCTCAGTTATTGACTGTAGACCAAGCACACACGTATGAAAAAATCGTATAGAAATTTTCTATACAAATTATTTCTATACGATTTCCATAGGTTTGATCCTATACGACCCCTTGCCACATGTATAGAAATATTTCGTATGGAGTTGCGACATTTCTCTACATTTTTCTCTGGAATGTTTAGACATCTTTCGTATGAATGCGAAAATTTATGTAAAAATTTATGTATAGAAATAACTTGTATAGAAAATATTCGTATGAAAATATCCGAATATCATATACGGAAATCCTATAGAATTTCTACACGCAATCCGTATAGAAAATGTATATACGATTTTTTCATGCGTGCAAATTCAGCCAGAATATTTCTATTCATATTAACTTCCATTTAGAATTTATTTTGGATTTTAATTTTCAAAATTCAAGCCATGTTTAAACTACTTTAACGACTTCGGGCATTGTTAATCCTCGATACGTTATCCCCAACTCCGGATGAATCTCACTCGTCTCTCTCACTGTTGTATTCACTCCTGACAGGCCGGAGTATAAATCATCGACTGTTATCTGTCCTATTACGGTGGCATTGTGCTCCTCCCGGAATTCTCTGAGGAGGTCGTAGTACAGGGGAATCTTTTCACTGAGAGCTTCTTTCAAGTTTGTACTGGAGCTGGGGACCCCACGGGTTTTACTCACCTGGATTAATTCAGCAATGAACGTGAACTTATTTGGACTTAAAAAATGTATTTACTTTATTCTTTCTTTTTATTGAGTTTGACGCGATGGAATGATTTTTTTTCTATAAAACTCAATTAATCAATTAGTTTCCGAGTTATGAACGTCAAAAGCAAAGTAAAAGGTGTCCGTTTTACCCCACCCTCCCCTATTTTTGATTATCTTCATTTTGGTTCTGATAATGAATAATTTTTACTCAAAACGTCGAGTTTTTTCTTGTGGATTTTTTAGCTAGGGGAGGGTGGGGTAAAACGGACACTTTAGACTTTTTTAAAATTATTCATAACTCCGAAACAAATTGATCAATTGAACTCAGTTTAGGCTGTCACAAAGGGAAAGAATTGTTCTTTGTATTGAAAGAAAAATTATTAAATTTTATCAACATTTCAACCCATTATTAACATAAAAAAAAAGTTAAAAGTGTCCGTTTTACCCCAACCTCCCCTATATAAAACTCTTAATTATTTTTATCACCAGCAGTTGTCATCTAGATAAATAACTCTACATTTTAGAAAAATGTTATAATTAACTTGTGGAGTGAAGAAAAGAATTCTAACCAATACTTTTTTCATGGCCGGAGCGGATGAGTAAATTTTGAATCCTCGGTAAATCAGTGGAACTGAATTATTATGCAGAATTTTAACGCTCGAACGAAGTGTTTGCGATAATTTTGTCATCACTGGGGGATTTTAATGTACACTAGGAATTTAGAGGATCGAAAGGGGTTGCAATTAATTATCTATCCATTCATTTAATCATTTTCAACTGAAAGGAGATGTTCTGTTGTTATTGGAAAATTCGAGTTACACACCGTTGTGTCAATTCAACGATAAATTTCAAAGTATTTTGATTTTTTTCCAATCGGTTCATTAATTTTTTTTTCACTCATACGAAATAATTTCGTAGAAAAACTTGGCGGATTTGATAGGAAATACTATTGCGACATTTTGTATGGGAATTCCTCGACATGAATTTTCCAAGTTTTTTACACTCTATTTTTCTTCTCTCTTCATTAAAAACTTGAGTGAAAAACTTATAAAATATCCGAATAGGATAAGGTGTGTAGAAAAATACAATTCCACTGATTTTTTCGGTAGAGGCTTTTCCAATGGACATTTCTACTGAAAAAAGCTGCAGAATTTTTCAAATAGAATTTGTCAGACACTAATACACAGCAAAAACGAATGTCTGAATTTCACACACCTTTTCTAGACATTTTGCAGACACAAAAACACGTCTGAATAAAATGAAAACGTGTCTGAATTTCAGACGAACCGGTGCCCAAACATCTTAATTCATGTTTGAAATTCAAACAAATTTTCATTTTATTCAGACGTTTTTTAGTGTCTAAAAAATGTCTCCCAAAGATGTGTGAAATTCCGAGATTCGTTTCTGCTGTATAGAAATGCAATACAATTTCCTGTCGAAATCGCTCGCCCTTTCTATGAATTTTTTTACACGCGTTTATTTCAATTATCATCAACTTCAATCATCTCCATCTTCATTTCAATAATAATGAATGATGAAACTAATCAATTATCTACCCATTATACACTCATTGGGAAATCAATCACAATTAATGAACTCCATTTGTTCAATGACTAAACACTTCCTCCTCCTTTTATTGAGTCAACAACATAACATGATTTTTCATTTATTTACATTTTTTATAATCAATGAAATTTCGTTTCATTATTTTCAACCACTAGATACAATCAATCATATACAATAATAATGCACAACGCTTCAACCATAACGTCGAAAATCATGGTACAATAATCAGTTGTAAAAATTTTTTTCCAAGGCAGTTTTGATTTACGAAATAGTTTATTTATTCAAATTAAAATGACGGATTCATCTTATTGCCCTTTTATCAAGTCTACAGAATTCCTTTTTTTCGTATATTTTACATATCTGCACATGAAGTGTGCAAAACTCTTCTAAATCTCGAGACTATACACATGTTTTTTTTACTTATTTACCCAATACCGATGTTAGTATCTAGAAACGAATTCATCACAACAGTCACATAGTAAAATATAATATATGTATTATCGCTTGAGCTGGGACAGTCCCCATTGGTACTATCGTAACAATCAGAGAGGATTCGATGAAAAAATTCTAAAAAAAAGGGAGTTAATGGTATCGTTCATTTTGTTAGGAAGTAGACGAGTGTGTTTGGTAGTGAACATTGTCGAGTGTCTTTTCGTCTTTGATTATTCTATTTTTTTGTCAGAGAAGTACACACTTGTCGTTACTATCACGAGGATTAGATCGATGGGGTAACGATGGCGTTTGCACTGGCGAATTTTTTTTGCCTTCTGATGCTTGAATGCTCTTCATCAGTTCACGAAATACCTGGAGACAAGTACAAAGATAAAAGAAGAGTATCAAGGAATTGTTAGTAAATACAGAGAAAATTATTGCGTTTAGAGTCCCCCGGCCGTTGGCACAAGCCGCGTTAACATGGGCGCCGTAGGTGAGGGGTTAATCTTTCGGAAATCGTCGAACGGAAGTCTAGACGGACGGCGGGACCCGTGAGGCGCGGGTTCAAGTCCGGCTGGGGCAATTGGGATTTTTAATCTTTCGGAAATCGTCGAACGGAAGTCTAGACACCGAGAATCATCGGAGAAGTGTTGGGAAAACATTCTTCGATGATGCTCGGTCAATGTACGCCCGTGGCATCTAAGATTTTCCATGGTTTCCCTCGGTCACCAGGAGAGTCTGTACGTGGGGTACAGCCGCGTAAAGCTCCTGCACGGAGAGAAATATTCAAGAAAAATTACGGAACATTTCACGTAATCCGCAAGCGAGAATCGTTTTCAGTGAATTTTTATAGGAATATAAGAGAATAAATCTGAAACGTTCAGTAAATTTTCGGGTCTGTCACCGAAAAAATACGAAAAAGTCACGTAATTTTTCTGGAAGTTGTAAAATCTAACAGAAACTTCAAGACTTATTATGCCTAAGAACATGAAAATTCTTGGATGTTTAAGAATTTTTACGGAAAGTTTCGGAAAAATTATGGAACGTGTTGTTAAAATCTCCCCCTCACGGTGACTCATGGCTAGCCGTGAGGCGTCGGACGGATGAGTAATTTTTACGGAACAGATCGTAGAATTTACGTGACGATTGACACTTTTTATTGAATTTTACTTCGCTCCCAGATTACGTTTCGAAGTGTAATTTTTACGTCTTTTTTCTGGTAATTTTTATTGAATATTTCTCTCCGTGTGGGGTACAATGCGAAACGGTCGGAGAGGAAGTCGGAAATATGAAACCGCAAATATGTAAAAACTTCAATGGGGTTTATATGGCAAGGAAAATAAATATAACACGAAAAATCCAAAACTTAAATTTGAACGATTACGATGCTTCCGCTCGGAAGCAAAACAATGGAAACAAGGAAAGTCGAATCTGATAGGGAAAGGGGCATCAACCCTCGATGGCGTTAATAATAGAAGATATCCAACCTGAACAACTCGACAGTTGAATCGAGCGCTGCACTCAACGTAACCGCATCTCCAATGCTTCCTCACTAGATTAACAATGTCCCGATACCTCGTACTCGATGCCACCACAGCTGACAGTTTATCCTGCTTATTTCCCACGACCAGCAGTGGCACACCTCGCATGTCTCTGGCCTCGTATATTTGCTCCCGCAGGGTTCTTATGTACTACACAAACATGTCGATTTGTTTACTCGAGACTTCTTTGGGCTCACACTCTTTGCGGGAAAAATGTGTTTGTTTGGACAATTTGTCCGCTTGAATGGGCTGAAGTGGACGGGGATCTACTTAACGAAATCATACGGTTCAACATTTTGTGGTTATTTCTTCTGTTTTTCTTGAAAATACTCAAGTTGGTGGGGATTTACACCTAAGGGTTTTACTATATGAATTTATTACATGAATAAAAAGTTTCTGAAATTTTCTTTTCTCCTAGCACCACTTGTTTGCTTCAGACTCATGATAAGTCAAATTTTCCGAGCTCAAGTTTGATTTTTTATCGTGAATCATTAGGACAAAATCAGGAGTGACAAAAAAATTAAGAAATCCACTGTTTAATGATTCACAAAATAAATGAATAACTTCTTCGATGCGTAATAAATTCATGTATTGGTGCGTTCTATAAATTTTTTTCCAAGAAATTTGTTTTTCTCCTAGCACAAATTGTTTGCTTAAGACTCAGGAAAAAAAAACAAATTTTCGAAGTTCAAATTTGATTTTTTATTGTTAATCATTAGAACAAAATGCTGAGGGAAAAAAAGAAATCCACAATTTGATGTTCACAAAATAATTGAATAACTTCTTCGATTCGTAATAAATTCATGTATCAGTACTCTCCGTAAATTTTTATGCAAGACATTTTTTTTCTCCTGGCGCCACTTGTATACTTAAGACTGATGACAATAAATCAAATTTTTTTTTATTGTGAATCATTAAAACAAAATCATGAGTGAAAAAAAATCACGAAATCCACAATTTGATGATTCACAAAATAATTGAATAACTCCTTCGATTCGTAGTAAACTCCTGCTTCAGTACTCTCCATCGATTATAAATTTACCTGAAAAGTATCTTGATTACTGAGATCGAATACAAGAACATAAGCGGAGGCACTCCTGAGTCCATAATATCGAAAATCAGTCCACTCTAGATGCGTGCTGACTGGGAAATAAGGTATGGTAGGTAGATCGGTGATTTTCATCTCATAGAGGCGATCCGACAAGACAACACTGGGGTAAAACGTCTCTCGTCTCTCGGTGGGTCGATAAGTATCGAAAAACTCGCTACAAACAAATTGCTACAAAAAAATGTCCCATTAGTTCTCGTCTCCTGAAAATCCATTCGTGATTGAATATTTGTGGAGGAGGTGGATACATTAATTCCACTCATTCATTCCACTTTTACTGATACTTTTACTTTATGTACATATGAGAAACTCATTTTTCTTCATTCAAATTCTACGTCTATTTAGTTTCATACACTCTATCAACGATAAAGAAGAATGATAAGTGAAAAATCAAAGAAATGATTTTGGATTTTTGATCAATCCGCAAGTGAAGGATTACGAATTGATTTTCTAGGTAAGCAAACAAACTCATTGAATTATTGAGATGAAAAAACCCGAGAACTTTCTAGAAGACTGAAGAATTTTAAGGATTTTTCTCGAATGAAAAAAAAACAGACATTCTTCCACAATTTTCTAACAAATCGGGGGATTTTCTCGGTTTCCGAGGATTTAGAATCTTTCAGACATCGGCAGAATCATAAATTTTAAATAAAGTTAAATTTTAAAGAAGTCAATAGCTAATAATTCTCATCAGTGTTAAATTATTGAATTAATTACTAATTAAATATCCAAATTTGGAATTATTTTATCAATCAATAATTGAGTTCAGAGGATTGAGGATTATTTCTAATCGAAAATCCCTTTTAAGAAGTTTAGAAATATTTGCCGAGTAGTCAATTTAAAATCCCACATTGCAATTATTTAATTCATAGACAATTAAAAATTTAAATTATCAGTTATTTATTATCTAAATATCTCCAAGTGAAAAAAAATGGAAAAAACAGAAATTTATGGATTCACGGAAGTAAATCACGAATTAAACAGCAAGAGGAAACAATTAATCAATTTCCTGCATTTTAAACAGGAAAATTAAACAATAATT